ATAAATACATATAGGAGTTGCTTATCATATAAGCGAGATATCCAATCATTTTTCATCATGTGAAAAATTTTTTATTCATCTCAAAATTTTCAAAATGAATTTACATTGTGCGCGCCCTTTTTTTTGAAACACACTGTAATTATACCACTACCATATATTTCTTTGTCTACTTCGAGGAAAGTTAAAATAGCTGTTTTCCATTTTTGCTGATTCCTGATATCAATGATGATTCAATGCTTCCACAACCACATATATTTAAAAGAGTATATTGTAAACATTATCTCTGCCGAAAAAATTGGAACCAAGGGAGATATAAACATTTATTATTTCAAGATAATGGTAATGGTATTGTTTTATGCCTACAGAGAAAATAATTTGTGGGCATGACAATAAATATATAAATGTTTATAGTATCAAAACTGGTGTTTTAATTCATAATCTCATGGGCCATGAAGGTGCTGTGTGTGTGGTTCAATCCATTGGAAATACATTAATATCAGGATCTGATGATAAATCCATCCATATATGGGGATCTTTTGAAAGGAGTTTGTACACATATACTTCGAGGACATATGGATTCAGTCTTGTGTCTATGTTTTTTATTACCATGTGATTTTTATTCACATTTGTTAATAATTAGTGGTTCAAGGTACTCTATGCTAAAACTGTGGAAGCTTCCAGACATTGATGCTGATTTATTACTACCAGTTAGTATCAGGGTTGGCAAATGTGTGGTTCATTAATAGTCTATTGGTGGTCTATTGGGCCCATTAGTGTGGTGCTTTAGCCATATTTAGTATTTTATTAATGACAATGGAGCAAAATACATCTGTTTTCAATGGACCATAAGGCTCCAAATGAATCAATGAAATTCGAACCAATTCGAATCACTTAATTTTGGTTTGTTTCATTCAAATCAAAATCAAATCAAATCTGAATTGTACTTTGATTTGATTCGAACTGATTCGAATATATAATTTGATTTGAACTGATTTGATTTGATTCAAACTGACTGGTTCGAATCTATAATAATAACTGATTTGAATCCATGATTTGAATCAAATACACTATATATACAAAAATATTTTTTATTTTATATTTATTTATATAGTATAAATGTTGTAAAATTCAAAAAAAAAATTTTACCTGGAGCAATAATTGCATCTTTTGTTGAAGAAATTGAAGAAGTTGAAGAAGCATCAGTAATGTTAGTACTTATTATTTTAGATTTAATCGTTACTTTTTTACTCATTATTAATAATATAAGTCACATGACCATTAATATTAATATTAATATAAAAATTCGAATAAATATCATATCAAGAAGAATTTTATTACCATTAAACCATTCTTAGACCTCAATCCATTAGTATTCATTAAATGGAGGCACACTAATTGAGATTCACTGTGTAATATAAATTTAAATTATCAAATTAAAAATATAAATTTAATATGACATTAAAAAAATTTTAGGAATCTGGTTTGATTCAAATTATAGATGCTGGTCGCAATTCTTGGTGATGGTTGCAACCATATTTGCGACATATAAAAATGGTTTGCGACACCTGGTTGCAACCACTTTGCGACCACTTTGGTTTCCTTTTTTGGATTGCGACATGGAACACTAATTCAAATCAATTCAAAACAAGTCACAAATTGAATCAAATTGACTACAGATCGAATTGGATTGAATCGAATCACTCTCAAATTTGTTTTGTTTTGTTTCGTTCGGAGCCTTAAATGGACCAATTAATTGCCAACCCTGGTTAGTATACTATTATCTTGTGATAAAAATGACAATAATCCGTATCTTATTCACACACTTGAAAGAACATGATGATTCAATGGAAGTTATAGCAGCTGTTGAAAACAAATTAGTTAATGATGGTTATGACAATATTGTAAGAGTATGGAATTTTATGGAAAGAAAATGTATTGTGTGCTTACAAGGACACATTAATGCGATTAATTATGTTGCAATCAACAATAAATTTAAAAGATGCACCAGTTCCAGTTTAGATGGCATCTCAAAATTTTGGAGTTTGGATAATGGAGAAAATCTCTGGAGATTAGAAAATCATTCATCATCCTTTGGAGTTTATTTAATTTTAATGATTATAGTTGTAAACATATATTGACTCTGCATTCCAGAGAAATAGAAACTTTACAGTATGATGAAGTTAAATTAGTAGAAGGATCATGTGACAAGTTAAGCATATGGTACATGAATACTGGAAACCATCTCCATGATTATTAACAGGATTAGATGGTATATGGTAAGATATCAGTTTTAATAGTCATTTTAGGATTTTTTTCTTTTTATAAAAATAACATTTATATTAATTGGAATATATAGGAAAATAGAATATAATGAACAATATTGTGTAACAACAGTAGTAAGGGTTTAGTAACTTGGATTGAAATCCTAGATTGGTGTAAAATAAGACCAAAATACTTTTAATACTAGTTGTGCTGATCAAAATGATACTGGATTTCCAAAAGAATAATAGTAGAAAATGACTGGATTTTAAATAAGAAAACATCCATAATTCTTTGTCAATTTGTAATACTATTGAACAATAAAAAATTAATGTTGAATCATGTAATAAATTGTTTGGATTGTTCTCTTTTAATTGCTATCTCAAACTACAAACTTGTAAAAATTTGGAATTGACATACAAATAAAACCAAACATATTTAATCTATTGACTAATGCACATACCAAAAAAAAATCGTTATACAGCTTGTAATTTAATTACAGTCTATTGTGAAATAGTGAACTCGATATGTTACACAAAGTGTCATGAGTAACATCTACGGCACGATAACAAAATTAAAAATAGATCGTAAACCGAATCTTTGAATTATTAATTCGTTATTATTTATTCATAAATATTCTTTATTCGATTATCATTACAAAGATTTAAGTGACCTGAAAATGGATGAGTAGGTTATCCAGAAAGGAATTTGACTGAATTTGGAAGGTAATGAATTTGCTCTTGAGAATGTTGTTGAAAGTTTTGCTAACAAAGCATGATTATACATACAGCCCAAAGTATTTTGACACTGTCATAAAGGGGGTTACACATGTAGTAAAGGGGTGTTACACTTATGTTTTTAATAGTGAATGCCATAATTAATTTCTACTTTCTACCATCAAAATTGGAATAATTTTGACCATCAAAATCACCAAACCAATTTGGGCTGCATGTATAAGCATGACATCATGAGCATTTTTTGATCTTTATTTTAAGGAAAATAAGGAATTAAAAGAAAAGAATGCTATTTTAGAAAAAGGGAATGCTGAGTTAGAAAAAACTAATCAAGAGTTAAAAGAAAAGCAAGAGGAATTAGAAGCAAGAATAGAAGAGTTGGAGATGGAACATGAAGAAATTAAGAAAATCTTAATAGTTGGTGAAAAATGAAGCAAAAATCAAGCAGAAGACATAAAAGAGAAAAACAAGAAACTCGAAAGTGCTAATGAAAAGATTTCTCATCTAGAGCTCAAGTTGAAAAGTTAGAGGAAGAGACAAGTCAAAAGAGCAAAAAATAGAAAAACTAAGTAAGCAATTAGCTGATATGAATCACAGAATGAAAGGTTAGATTACTTAAACAGCAAACCTTTGCCTGCTTTACCTGTTGAAGAAGAAAATAAAGATTCTAACTAAGCAAAGCATTTTCAGAAAATTGAACAATTGAAAACTTTAACTCCTCAAGAGTTAGTCAATAAGTTAAATGCTTATGAGGCAGAGAATGAGAAATTAAAGAACCAATTAGAACAATTACAACAGAATGGTCAACTAACTGCACAAATTGAAATTAAAGAAACTAAGAAATGATCTTGATTGAAAATAAGAAATTAATTTTTGGTTATTTCCTTCTGTATAATTTCAACTATCTGAGAAAATGATAGTTATTTTCCTTTAAAGATTTTTGCTTTTTATTAGGTAATAGTACACTTTCATTTTGTTTTCTTTTTCTAACATTTATTATTTTTCTTTCTTCTTGGTAAAATTCATAAATAATCTTTTCTTAGATAAGCTTCAATTGCCTGAGTATCATTTATTTTGAAAATATAGGGTGCAATTTTTTCACCCTGTTCCTTTTTTAAAATACTTCTAATGGTGCTATAATTCTTGGGTTCCATAGTAGATCTGATGTAAATGAGTTTCATATTAATTATTTTTATATTGGGATAGTTCTATATATCACTCAAGATAACAAATGGGATATTAATTATGATCACATTACAAATGACTAAATTTTGATCCCTGAAATCCTTGGTACTACCAACGTTCGCTTTGTCTGGTTTTGTTGCAGCATGCCTCATATTCAACATTTAGCATTGCAGATGAATTTTGTGTGTCATACCAATCCAACATCAATCATTTGTCATTTGTTATCATGATAAGGAATCTTATAATTACCCATCATTGTATAATGGTAAATGTAAATTTCACTCTATGTTGTGATTTCAAAATATTAATATATTTAGCAAAAATTGTCAGCAACTAACCTTTTTATTGGAATCCATTGATTAATGATCTGCAGAGTGCATTTCTACACTGTATTATATTATTTAATAATATAATAAAAATTCATTAAAAAATAAACGAAAGAGTTGGCAGGAGAAAAAATTATTGTGTTACACTCCTTCTTGAAAGAATTACGAATTAAGCTTTAGCAGGGCTATTCAAAAAATGAAGAAACCTCAATAAATTCACAGCCTCCACCCATTCTGAATTTTCTATTACATTTAAGTCTGATTAGCTTTTTTCAAGAGGATTATTATTATAATCGCTTGTCAATTCCTAAAAATTCAGGGGCAGGCTAATATTAATATACTAATTAAAATTCACGTCGATCACTAAAAAATTTTCGGAAAAAACACTTGAAAATCGCTTTTTGCGTTTAAATAATTTTTTTTTAATAATAATATTCATTCTTTATTTCAAACTTTTGTCAATCCTTTACTTTCAGTAAATATTATTATTATTATCATGCAAACCTCTTCCTCCACAACATCACAAAATGCCACCAATTCTTCTTTAATAGACATTGGTGTGAATATTTTTTTGGGAATTTGTCGCTTTCCTTTTCTGATTATATCAAAAATATTTCAAAAACTTTTGAGTCCTGTGAAACGAACTACACAAAGACGCACTCAAAATCATTCACCTACATTAGCCTTCAGAATAATATGGATGATCGCTTTGTTACTTGGTGAAATATTAATATTCTCTTTTTCAATGAAAAAATGCTCTTGGCCCGAAGCTACAGAATGGGTTGGTTGAAAATATAAAAAATATAAATAAATATTAGTTTATTATAAGATTTATCATTAATATTAACGTTTTTTTATTGACTAAAATAGGATACTTCAATAGCAACACCATTTCATGTTGCATTAATAGCTGATCCACAAATAATAGATGATTATTCTTATGGTAGAACGGGCATTCTCCAGAAAATATCAGAAATTTATCCTGATATGTATATGAGAAAAAATTGGATCAATTTACAAACTATTTTTGATCCTGACGCAATAATTTTTATGGGTGATCTAATGGATGGAGGAAGAGAGTTGGATGATAACAAGTATGAATGAAAATTGATCTCATAATATCGATATTTGTAAAATTCAATATGTTTTTATATTCAAGAATAAATTTTTTTTGTCATAAATAAAACCTTTAGATGGGAAAGTGAATTGCATAGATTTCAACATTTGTTTTTTCCAAGAAAACCTACAAAAACTCCAATATATTATATGGCTGGAAGTCATGATATAGGATTTGGTGATAAAATTGTTGATGAAGCATATAATAGATTTAGAAAATTTTTTGGTAGAGTTAATTATATGGTCAACCTTGGCAATCATTTGATTGCAGTAATTGATACTATCGCATTAAGTGGATCAAATGAAGCTTCAAAACAAGAAGCCATGTCATTAATAGAAAAAATAGCTGAAGGTAGGTTTTTTTTTTAAAAAAAAGAAGCTTTTATAACAATAATAATGCCAATGCATGCAATTGACTTTTTTTATTTTATTAGGCAATTCTTCAAATTTAAATCTTCCGAAAATATTGTTGACTCATGTTCCATTATATCGACCACGTGATACTGATTGTGGTCCACTTCGTCAAAAAAATAATTATATTAATCAAGGCCGTGATTATCAATATCAAAATTTGGTGAGAAAAAATATAACAGATTTATTATTAGACAAGATAAAACCATCAGTCGTATTTAGTGGAGATGATCATGATTATTGTGAAATTAAGCATGAGGAAGCTGGTGAAATAACAGAAGTCTCAATAAATAGTTTTAGTTTTGCAATGGTAGGAAAATATAACTTTAAAATAAAATATTTATTAATAAATATTATTCATATTCATATTTATATTTATTATTTATTAATAGGGTGTGCCTAGACCAGGATTTCTACTTTTAAGTTTGTACAATCCACCTAAAGCAGACAATACTTCATCTTCATCCCCAATAATTGATAATTCCACTGTTAATATTACTAACAATAACAGTTATATTAATAATAACACGACACCAACATTCTTATATTCACAATGCCTATTACCAAATCAACTCCGTATATATTATTGGTATTTGGTGTTATTAATTGTGACAATATTATGCATCTTTTCCCATACATTTGTTAAAATTCGACGGAACAATGAGATTTTACCTGTGTGGCAAAGATATCAGCAACCAAAAGGCAAATGGATAATGTTTAGTTCACAATATTGGAAATTGGCATCAAAAGAATTAGGGAATATCGCATTGTTTGCATTATCAACGTATTTGATTTGTTGGATATGGTTTTTAATTTGAACACACATGCCATATGCACACACACATATATATATACATACACACACTTAAGATCATCTTAGAAAATAGAAAGAAAAGCCAAAGTGGAGCTAATTTTAGGTAAAACGGGTGCAATAACCCTTGATAACTGAACACCCATCATCATCAATCATCATTAATAAACATTCAATCATCATCAATCAATCAATTAATTAATTGGATCAGACTAGACTCGACAAATCAGTTTATTCTCAAAAATGTATACATGAAATATGGAAGTGATTGATTGATCAATTCATTTAAATATGGAATAAACTGAATTTTCTTCAAATAAATTATAAATAAATATGTTTTTTATATATTATTAATGTAAATAATTTATAAATTATATTACAATTTTGCTTTAAATGATTATTTTCGAAGAATAAATTTATTTCTTTTTCATTCAGTATAAAACTTTCAAAAGCGTAGTTAAAGTGTAATTAGTAGTGGTAAAGCATTCAAACAAAAAAATGCTTGCTTGATATTGATTGATGTATTTCTCTGGTTCACAAATTTATATTCATTTCATTTGGATCGATAAATACATTCAATGAATCATGCATGGTTTGATCTGTCTGATTTGATTATTTATTAACAAGCAACATTTACTATATGTTTTTCCAATCCTATGTAAGTTGTGAGGATCTAATACGAATAAAAAAAAAGATTTTTATTATTATACAGTTTAATATTAATTATATAAATCGGGTGACTAAATTTAAAGGTAAATTTGATAATTAATTTTAAAGCCGAAATTTATTATATATATATTTTCTAACGTGAAATGAGTATTCCTCTATTAGCTAGTTAATTATAAGAAACATAAACAAAACAGGATGAGCAAACATTAAAATTGATCGAATAGATTTTGGTTTAAAAAAAATTGGGAGCATTTCTTCAAACATGATGAATTTCAAAACTGCGGAACGATACACACACGGCTTTGCCTACACGGGAAAAAAGGACAGGAAAATTAATCTCATTTAACGTTCTTAACACCGTCATGAAAAAACGTTGTATGAGCCTTTTATTATTAGTTTGTTAATTATATATATAACTAAACTAGATTAATTATATGCTATTTAAAAGATCCTCCCGCTCAAGTTCGCCTGGAATGAAGAAAAATTTAAAAGTAAAAATAATTGATGCAGATATTGACATTTTATTTTACAATATTGCTTTTTTTTTTTTTTGAAAAACAAATATATGGCCATTTTTCACGTTGCCAACATCATAGCTACTATGATTATTGTTACATACTATCAATATTTTTTTCATCGGAGGTTTTCTATTAGATAAATAAATACTAGCCCCATTATTATTTTATTGATAAAAATCCAGGGATTAATAAATGATAAAGGATATAAGTGAAAAATATATACATTAGTGAGACCAAATAATAGGTAATACATTCCATTCCAAAATTCACCCAAAAATTATTTTGCCTTCTGAATAAGTTGTAAAAATCATTCCGAAAAATAAACGAATAGATCTAATATTGATCACAAGTGTCAGATTTAATTGAAATTTCCTTCCACAAACATGTAAGTTAGTGCCTTGACAACTATAGAATTTTTTCCACATGTTGGAAGGCTTTGGACAAGTGAGAGGCTTTAACAGCCTCTTTGACAACAATGCAATATTTAGAGCCGCACCCCCCGAAATTTATTTGCATCATTGAATCATTGGAGATGAGGTCAGATTAGCCTTTATGCACGCAGGAAAAATAAAAAGAATGATTGTAATTTTTTAAATACTTGAGCCCTGGAGGCAATATGCTTCAACTTTCGATGATCAAACAAGGTGCATATTGAATTGGTTTTTTGGTGTTTCCAAATTATTCAGGAGTAGCTTTTCCATCTTCAATAGTTGTTGATTTTTTTTATTTTTGACATTCCTTATATCATCATTATTTATGATAAAGAGTCTTATAATTACCTATATAATGTAGAAGATATAATTTCATCAATAAAATATTAGGCTATTTTATAAAAAAAATGGGATATTAATATCTCTGAATCACATCAAATAGTATTTCCGACTATAAATAAAATCTTATTATAAACTTGGTTTTTTTTTGTCCATTTTAATTTAATAATTACTCTTAAATAGTACATGTCTTTCTTTTGGTAGGCCACTTATTGCCCAAATCAACTAGAAATAGTTGTTTAGCAATTCCCGCGTCCGAAGCTTTAAGATTCAGAGGTGAAATACTTTTTTAATTTTTTATTTATCTTTATTGAACTAAAGAATTTAGAAAATCCCAAATTATTGTAAAATCCCTTAATTCGTGGATATAAGCGAATACTGCGCCGGATTTTCTTAGCAAAGTCAAAAATTTGTAAACAATAATAAAAATATTAAAATAATTTTTGGTAAAAAAAATTGGAAGTTGGTCAATTGTAAACATTTAAACATTTAATACTGAAGATCAATCCTCACAATTTACTACATAATTTTCAAAATTTTATAATGATTTATTAATTCACTGACAAAATAACAAACATAAAAATGCAATTATCATTATATTAAATTAAATAAATTATTCAAAACATTTCCTCACATTTTCATAAATACTTTTAGGATAAGATAGATGATTCAAATTTTTATCTAATTCATCTTTACCACCTAATCCATTAAAAGATGCTAACAATAAAGAACGATCATCACTAGTTGGATAATCAGAGCTTAATTCCCAGAACATTACACCACGTAAACACTTGTCTCTAATATATTCAGTTTTATATGTGACAACTTTTGGTGTGTCATAGGTGACCAATTCACGTTGACTTGATGAATAACTGAAACTTGCTATAGACTTATCATCAAAATACTCAATTGCATCTTCTTTAGGAAGTTTTTTATAATCATAGATACCTGCCTCCCATGTCCCTTCTCCGACACCATTAAATGATGAGCCTAGTCCATTTGTTTCTTGAAATGCGCGGCCATATACGGGCATTCCAATGACAATTTTGTGACCAGGAATTCCTTGACCCAAGTAGTATAGCACCGCTTTGTTAATAGAAATCTCCTCGCCATATAGATTTGATTGATGTCCTGTAACACTTGACCATGATCCTTGGAAATCATATGCCATAAGGTAAAAAATGTCCAAGTATTTTTCCATTTCTCTTAATTTCATTATTTTGTAAACGTTCTCTCCGCATGGTACAGCAGCTGTTAAAAGGTATCGTTGAGCTTCGTTTTTTGATTCAGCATATTGATCTAATGCTTCCCTAAGATCTTTAAGTAATTTTACATAGTTATTGGCATCATCCTCATTCCCTGGATATTCCCAATCAACTATAACGATAATGACGATTATGATGATGACAAAAAAAAATTTTTTTTGTTAGAGCGTTCAAAAATCAAATATAAAAACAATATAACATCAAGAAAAAACAAAAAAAAATTACTATCTAATCCATCTAATCCCAAATCATTCATTAGCTTAATTGCAGTATCAACAAATCTTTCTCTAGATTTATGAGAAGAAGCAACAGCTGGGAAATTAGTAGACCAAGTCCAACCGCCAATTGACAAACTGACTTTAAGGTGTCTATTCTTCTTCTTTAACAAGTATAATTGTTTGAAATTTCCATATAAATTCTTTTCGTTATCATTCCAAGAATCATCCTCGAAATGAATATCAGTGTCAGACCATGAGTCACCCAAAAATACATCGCCATCACTTTTAAAATTTGCAAACGCGTATAATATGTGAGTAATCTTATCAAAGTCCAAGTCTTGTATAAAAAATTTTCGTCCATATATTGACCAAGAAGGAAAATAAGTGGCTATTACTCTTCCATGTCCAGTTGTTGTTGTTGATTCTTGTGATGGTGGTGGAGATGTTATGTCAGTTATATCAGTTTGTATGGGTGTAGTTGGTTGCTGATTATTTAAATAGAACCAAGGAGGAAAAGTTGATAAAATGGCAACACTAACTACAAAAGATAAAGCAATTATCCAATAAGTTGTTTTACAACCACTATTTTTATTATGATGAACGTGTGTTTTTTTTATAGAGGTATCTGTTGATGAAATATTTGTAGGTTCTTCTTCAGAGGTATTTAAAGGTGAATATTTAGACATTTTAATTTATTAAAAAAAATATTATTACACGAAGTACATAAATAGACAAAACTTCAACGGTTTCACTATATACCATTTATAATTGGTGAAACCTGTAGAACTGGTGACTATTTGATTAAGTGATAACGTCCAACATCGAAAAAGCAGATAATGGATTATTGTTTGTGACAATCAAGAAAGAAGCTCCATTGAGAAAATGGTCATTATAAGACTCCTTGTAAATGGCGTGGGAAAAAAGGGCAGTGGAAGACCACAAGACATGAAAGTACACTTATCAAATATTTGAGAATCAGTTCCCGAGAACATTAAATTTTTACGGTGATTTTTTAGCTGAAAATACTTTAGCTAAAAAATAACCAAATAAATATAAGTCAACCAACTACCTTCAACGCAATGTTTAGCATTGCTACTTGTTGTATTTCATTGAATTTTGTAAATGTCTAGAGAGCATAATGGAAATTTGAAACGGTACACTAATTTTTTATATTGTGCAACGTAGCTTTACAATACACGGCAAACATTCTGGCAATAAAAAGTAAGTGATAAACTGGATTTGAATTGGATCTGAACTTGATCTCCAATTTAGAAAGGTAACGACTATACTGGCGAAGTTTCAGAAGCAATGAGTTCTGTATAACGTTTCGTGTAACAACAAACTTCCACTATGCTTGTCTAGAGATAATTTTGTAAATGATATAAAAGTGTTTTAGTAATCCTACTAATTTTTTTGTTCAGCAGATTAATTGTTATGAACATATATACATTTAAATAAATAATTATTTTGAAGAGGTTTAGAAAAACTTGAATTAGACATTTTTGCAAGTAATAGTAATAGTAATAGTAAATAAAGATTTATGTACACGTTTGTAGTACACTTGATATTATCCGCAGGAATTCTCAAAAATCTTTTTTCTAGTTTTATTATTATCTAAAATAAAACAAAAATCATCTAATTTAAAACTCGAAATGTATAAAGTAAGCGAGGACGATAGACAAAAGGCTCATGAGCTTGTTAAATCACTTTATAATATAAAAAAACCTACTGGAATGACTAGACGAACTAAAAGTGTAAAAAAAACAGATCATGTTCATGAGCCTTCAGGTCTAACTATATCATCGTGGAGGATGAATGAATGGGATTATAAAAAAGGCCTCGTTCCTATTATGGCTAGAGGACTATTTACTAGAAAAACTGAAGAGGAAAAATATGAAATAGTTATTCGTGGTTATAATAAATTTTTCAATATTGATGAAACGGAAGATACCAAAGTAAATGTTGATATTGATGTGTCATCGTTTTTCAAAAAAACAAATAAATTATGATAATAAATATATATATTTTTTAGTGGGAAAATATAGAATCTAATACTGAAAGTCCTTATGAACTCACAATTAAGGAAAATGGATGTATAATATTTATTGGTGGACTTCCTGGTGGTCATCTTCTTATAACTAGTAAACATTCATTGGGAATAAAGCAAGGAGGAGTTTCTTTACACGCAATAAAAGGTAAAGAATGGGTGGAAAAACATCTTGCCAAAGCAGGAAAATCTCAAACTGATCTTGCGACTTTTTTGTATGAAAATAAATTAACGGCTGTAGCAGAGGTATATGAACAATAATATTTTACCATTGATAATATTATATTTAAAAGCTAATTATAATTTTTTACTTTTGTTGTAAATAAATAAATAAATTGGTTAATTAAGCTTTGTGATGATAGTTTTGAGGAACATATCTTGCCATATCCTCCTGAAATGAGTGGCCTTTATCTTCATGGATTGAATTATAATGTAATTGAATTGAAGACATGGCCTGGTGAAAAAGTTAATGAATTTGCTAAAGAATGGGGATTTATACCAACACATTATATTATGAAAAAAAATGTTGAAGAAATTAAAGAGTTTACAAATGAAATTGGAAAAGATGGGCATTATGATGGAAGAGCAATTGAAGGATTTGTAGTTAGAACAAAGTACAAATCAACTGGTGAATGTTTCTTTTTCAAAGTTAAATATGAGGAACCATATTTAATGTATCGTGAATTGAGAGAAGTAACGAAAGCAATTATAAATGGGAAACCACCAAGATTCAAATATAAATTAACTCAAGAATATAATGTTTGGGTGAAGGAAAAATTAAAAACAGAACCAGATATTTTCAAGGGATATCTAAAAAATCAAGGAATTTTTAGAATAAGAGAAATGTTCTTGAATGATTTGAAATTGACAGGCGATGCATTAAATTCTGATAAACTAGCAAAATTAGATAATGATCAAATAAATAAAGAACTCAAAAAAACATTGATCATCACAGTTGCCTCAATTGGATGTGGAAAGACATCATTATCAACGGCACTTACTAAATTGTTTGGATTTGGACATGTACAAAATGATGATAAAAAAAAACGATTAAACTTTTATAATGATATCAATAAACTGTTAGAAACAAATGGTGTTGTTATAGCAGATAGGTATGATGAACTAATCTTCAATTTTGATTTATTATTAATATTTTGAAATTTAAATTTAATAAATTTAATTTAGGAATAATCATACTTTAGAACATCGTAAAACATTAATTGAATCTGTGAAATCAGCACATCAAAATCTTTCTATAATTGCTTTATATTGGGATCATAATCTAGAAGATCTAAAAGGAATTTTTGAGATTAATTCAAAACGAGTTATTGAGAGAGGAGAACATCATCAAACACTTAGACCAGAAAATCCTCATTTTAAAAAAATCATGTGGTCATTTCTTGAAAGCTTTGAACCACTTAATTCCAACAATGGAGTTGATGATCAATATGATCTTGTGATAGATTTGGATATTAGCAATGATTTAAAATCTAATATAAAAATAACAAAAGATCAACTCAAAACAATTCTTGAAATAAAAGAACCATCAGAAGAAGAAATTGATAATGCAATAGAAAAAGCATTACAATATGAATCAACTGTTCGTAAGACTCGTAACAAAAAAAATCCATGATGCTAATAAAATCATTGAACCGCCAGGTGAAGTAATTCTTTCTGTGATGAACTGCATTCTAACTAAATTTTTCTTTAGGAAAAAATAATTACAATGTTTCATAACTTCACCACAAGATTTAAATAGTATACTTTAATAATTTGTAGGGTTTTTACTATGCAAATCATTTAAAAATTTTCAATGCATCCTCATGTATATAATAATCTGGTGAAATCAAAGTAAAACTTGAATTATTTATGAAATACTTCTTTATTTTTGAATATAAATTGCAAATCTGATTCAAGGGAATCATTACATATTAGAGTTTTGATTTTTACAATTATCACGTGATTTCAATCGAAGAATATGGTTCTGCTACTCGAATTTCTCTCAATACATGGAACTCTATCAATCGCTAACGAATTTTGTCATCTTTGTTATATTTTTAAATTCTTTTATGGAACCAGAATTTTTAAACGATTTTAAGAATTTATATATTACCCAAAAATTATATTTTAATTAAGTGATAAATATTAATGGAAATATGCAATAAAATCCTTTAAATATTAATATTTATGCACATGCGTAAGCTATTTGATATAGACATTATTCATTATTTATCAATCTTTTCTTTAAAGGACTCACATTAGGTATAAATCACGTGGCGGTTCCATGTTTCAGAACCAGTTTCCTACCACCATCCCTACACATTAATTATTCCAAAATAGATCGCCTCCTTCAATCTAGGAGAAGTAACACTATACCTAAAATTTCAACGAAAGATGCTGTAATCGCCTTTTATGCAAGCTTTTAATTTTCTTCAGGGGGTGATTTAGAAATAGATTTAAATTTAAAACGTTAAATCATTGAACTAATACTACCAAGTATTACAATCTTATTTCGCATTATTTTGTTGAAAATAAAATTTTTGCCAATAATTGAATTCGCTGTGACGAAGTTTGACTGTATTCATTTTAACAAATAGGTGAATATTATTCTCGACACTTAAGATCCAGAGAACCATTCTAGTGTTCCTTATTAATAAATTTTTTTAAAAAAGTTCTTTAAAAGATCCAATGAAAATGTCTTGCCTTCAGATACACTAATTTTACTTGATATTTAACATCTTGATCCCCGACAAAAAAATCAAAGAAAAAGCATTATGATATTATTTGGATAGTTAAATGATCCGATCTGGAAAGAGTTGTTACGCGACCTTTAACCATAAGATGTTGGATAGTTTTTTTTTTCAATAATCAAAATTTTATTACAAAATGACAATGATTATTATTTTATACGTAACCAATTAAGGGCAACAAATTTGTTTCCGGTACTTAAATATAATCATGCCGGTTCATTTTACCATCAATTTTTATTGTTGGTCTAAGGTTTTCAATATTTAATCTGTTTTAGAGTTCTTCAAGACTATCATTATTAAATATTCTAAACTCACTCTCATCACTCCAAATGATATCTTTCCAATTAATATTATTGCTGTTTCAGTTTACCAGTATCATTCTCGAGTTGCTGCTTGCTTAGTCTTCTCTAGCAAATTCTTCTTTATTGTCCTTTTCTTTCTTTGAAAAGTTTTAAACATACACTCCTTTAGATAAAAATATTGAACATCCTAAAACAATTAATTACAAATGCGTTCTGTCATTTCGTAACAATATTCACGCCACAAAAACGTACATAGTAATAAATATATTTATCAGTCGATACTTTTGTTGACCATCCACTATTTGAAATAACAGTTTCTATTTTCCTTAAACTTTTCAACTCTATCTCTTTCTGGATGTTCCAACTATATTTGTTCTTGCAAGGCTAAATGTATTAGAAATACATTATGTTCAAATAGACTTTTTATTTATTAATTCTTGATTTAGGCAAATATTAGTCGGACGCATAAAAAAATATAAGACGGTTAATTTGTTTTGGTTAATAAAATTTAAGATCACATGTTTTTACGAACAACTGGCAATATAGGCCAAAAAAGGATCATCAAACTTTCTCAACGAAGTTTATAATTTATAAAATAATAAATAATTTATTAAATGATAATAACAATAACAATGACCAATAATAGTGACAATAATAATAATAATAATTAATAATAATAATTAATAAATAAATATATAATTCACAGGAATTAAAAAGCTAATTAATCATCATTATCCTCCTCATCGTTATTTGATGATAATCTTGACAATCTCCTTCTTGGTGTCTCAACATCTGAATTATCTGTAGTAGTATTATAATTATTACCTTCACCAGTGGTTTCAAATCCTGATTCATCATAATCTGTATTTTCTGGATTCATTGACTCTGAGTGTGACTATATAAAGAAGAAAAAAATATTAGGAATTTGAAATTGGGGATTTTTTAAAATTTAAAAAAAAATTCATAAAAGTTTACAGTTATAGAATCATCATCATCTGATATATTGCTCGACTCATCATTATTTGATACAAATTCGGATCCACCATTTTCCACTTGCTCTTCATCTTCATCAGGATGATTTCTTAATGTTTTCATTTTACCATTATGTTGAACTCCTAACCACTTGTCATTATCAATTTCTTGTTCTTGGCGCCCACCAACACCACCATAATCATCATTAACACCATCATTATCATCATTATTAGCAACACCACCATTGTCATTATATTTTATTGTTTTTAATGGTGGTGATGAAGAAGTTTTCCATTGAGAAACAATAATTTTCCACGAGAATATTGAAAAGAATATCTCCCAGAAGATAAATAATAAAATGAAGGCTATTCCAGTTGAGACATAATGATAATACATGAGATATCTGGGTTTTTTTTGGAGTGAGTATTCAAATAAAATATTATTGAGGATAAGTCACAAGTACAAATATATTTATCATAAAGAAGGGTGTGTGAATACCTTAATCCTCTGAAATGTGCATCTAATTGTATATTTGCATTATAAACTTCCGGATTTTTATCTGGTATAGTAAGATATGCATGGGTCATTGGACTATCCTAATAATTATTATTATTATATTGAGAAGAAGTAAATTATTTTCCTGAATGATTAAATTTGTTTTGTGGTGGAATAGAAAGGAAAGAAACAAACTTACACCATTTTCAATAAAATTTTCAAACATTACAACTTTCAACTTTTGATCTTCCTTGACAAATCCCAAGACTAATGGGATTAATTTCCAAATTGTTGAAGTAATACGAAGTAATTTGGATTTATAAGTAAGTATACACTTTAAATAAAAATGATTATATATGTTAAAATAATATTGAATTAGAGAGTTTCATAAGAGAAAAAAAAATCATAAATTAGTATTTTTTGAGTATAATTACTGGTCGACCAGAAGACTGAATTGTATTATTATCCTTGGACTTCAATTCCAAATTAATCATAAAGTTGCCTATTAAAAATATTTTTCTTGTTATGATTATAATATACTAAAGCTTCTTGCAAGCCAGATAACTTATTAAGCTTGCAAGCTTATTAAATTATTCAATATATGTGTATATGTACCCAAATCAATATTTCGATCTGATTCAGGAACATCCAAATCAATTGAAATATCATAAGCTTGATCTGCTGATAGAAACTATGAAAAATAAAAAAATTATTATTTGAAATTTGAAATAAGAATCAAGAGCAATAATAGAGTGATAATAAAATCTTGAGATAATTAATGATAACATACATCTGAATATAATCCATTTTCAGTGAAATCGATCATACTATGAATCAATTTGTCTTGACTATTTATCATAACGTAGAAAAGCATGTAAACATTTTTCAAACCCATTTCTAAAAAAATTTCATATTAAATAAATACTTACTGATATTGTAAATGAACTGGTTTTGAGTGCGCGATTTTTGGAATATAGACATAATAAAATGCTATATATGAAAGAAATGCAAAACTTACTAATGTTGAAACTGCTACAAATATAAAAATAGATTTTATAGTAATTCGTTGAGCTTTTTGTGCTGAAAAAAGGTCAGCCAGACTATTCAAATATGGATCAATAATATTCCAAAATGGCGAGAAAAAGAATGATATTGCCTATCGATCATTATGATTAATTGAAAAATTTAGCCTTCATTCTACAAATATTGTTAAGCTGACGACAATATTAATTCACGTATTATTAAATACCTTGAAAAGCATTTTTTAAGAGAAAATTAGTAAATTTTTAAAACATAATATAAAAAAAGTTTTCACGCGATAGACATATGAATATTTTATAATATTTATTTTTCTGTTGATATAAGGGTTGAACCCCAATTTCGTCTTTGAAGGGGGATCTCTCAACAACGCATTGACTGTTATGGATTTAAATTACTAACTACATATAATTAAATTTTTATTATTAATGGATTTTGTGTAAATTAAGAAAATTTTTTTCCTTTTAATTATTATAATAGGTTTGTTTATAACGACTAGAAGAACAATTGCATTTATATATAAATAAATAATAGAATACATATAATGTATTTGTGAAAAAAATAAAAATACAATATAGAAAAGGTATAAAGAAATTTTTTTTGTGGTGCTCGGAAGAATTGCTATGCCACTATGCCACTCAGCAAAGTTTGGTCATATTGTGGATTAGGCTACTTTGGTCTTTACCTTTAGGTATAAGTCCAAAGTATTGAATTTTGCAGGTAATTGACCCAAAAGGGTGTGGTTATCTCGCAATATATTCAAAGTTTTTTTTGTTTATCCCTTTTGAAATATTCTTTATACTCGCTCTACAACGAAAAATTATATGATAAAAACGTTGGTTAGTAGTTTTTATGGAGTTTTTTTGGTAAAATTTTTTGGTAATAATAATTTGATTTTATTGCTTACTATATTAGAAAACATGGATAAACGGTTTGCACAAACGACTAAACATCGATATTATAGATAATAAATGTATATATGTACAGAGATAGGAGGTAAAAATAGATTTATTTTTTACTGTTTGTTTATTCCTTGATTTAACTTTTTTTCTTGTACGTCTATTATCAGTATTTAATAATGTTATTTTCCTATTATTTCAGTTATCAAATTATGCAAGTTCATTAAATTCATGATATAAATATCAAATTATTGTATTTCATAAATATGTTTATTTTACCATCTTCAAAAATCATCTTTTCACTACCTTTATCAACACAATATTCTTAACATTCACGTTTTTTCCTACCTTTTTTTGGAAATCACATCAATCAATCAATCAATCAATAATAATAATTATTGATGATGGACGATTTTGATCGTTTATTGCCTATTTAATTAAATGGTAAAATCTTTTCATTGATTAGTATTTTTGAATAACTAATTTTAAGAATTAATTTGCGCCTTACAATTTATTTATTAATTATTTTTTATTTCTTCAATAAAAATTTAAATATTTCGTCATCTTTAACCTTGTTTCCATTAATTATTTCTCCGTCTTCACTATTATCTCCATTAAATACTTCATCGTCTTTTAAATTTATATTCATGTTCATAAATTATCTCATCATCTTTAAACATGCCCTTTACATTTTTTATTTTTTCCTTTCATTATCAACAACAACAACAACAACAACATCATCATCTACTACTACTTTTTCATTTTTTCCATTTTACCAACATCTTCAGGTACTCTAAATTCATCGCTTAAAAATTCATCTTTTACTACTGCTATTTTTTTTTTCTTTTTACCAACATCTTTAGATTCTCTGGATTCTTCTTCATCTTCATCTGCTAGAACCTTTTTTTTTGTTTTTACTTTAAAAAATATATCAAAAATTTTTTTTTTGATTCTGGAATAAGTTTTTGTTGATGTTCTTATGTTCCGTTGTACTTTGTAAGTAAATTTATCTCCTAATTGTAGTTAAACTCCTATATAAGAAAAGGAAAAAGCAAATATAGATGAGAATCAAAAGCAAGTTTGCAACTATATGGGACCTTTTCCAGCAAAAATTGTCTTCCGCAGATTATCAGAAAATTAAAAATTGGTTATACGACAAAACCTAACTCAAAGAAACCCTTTGTTACCCAATTACTCATTTTTTTCTACTAAGCAAACAGGCCTAATATTTTCACCGATTATAATCTTTATGTTATAGATTAATATTATGTAGACACAAGCTTGGTCAGATGACCTCGGAAGCAGTTTTCAATTTTAGACTTGTGCAAATTATTTTAAAAAAAGTATCCGGCCTACAATTAGCAAACAGGGGTATAATATTTTCATGTTATTATTATATAGATTAATATTATGTAAAAAACACAAATTTGGTCAGATGACCTCGGATGTTTTTTTTTTACTATTACTGGAAAAGGTCACATATTTCAATTGTTAAAGTAGTAGTAACCTTTTGGATTGATGAACGATCTATTATACATAGATTCATTGAACTTTCGATCTTGGATGTGTTGCTTCCCAGTTTCAAATTCTAGCCAAATAAATTAACTAAAAAATAACGAGTAAAAGCATATTTTAAGCTATGATACTTTTCATCATCACACGGAGATATTTTTACTACAAGCAAACTCCGTTCTTTACAGGAAGTCTCTATGTTCAATGCCTGTACGTATACAATTTGAAGTTTTATACATACACTGAAAATTGGGATTAGCGTCTTCAAAATGATTTGAAATCTTACTTATTATACAAGTCTTCCGATAAATCAAGTATATAATTATCAAGAAAATTTTATAGAAAGTATAAATCTATATTAAACCCACCCAACGCCAACTTAGTAGCTAGGTATATACAAAAAGGCATGCTCATATATGAGTCATCAAATGAAGAAAATAGTTGAGTAATACCTATGAGATTTATCAAAAGAGCAGGAAAAAAACAAAACTATTAGAATAATAAAATAGCTTCTGAAATGATTGTCAAACTTGATTCATTGCTTTACTTAAATTCTAATTATTGTATTTATTCCATGATTGGTTATAGTTGAGTATGTAAATTACTTTTCAACATCCTGTGTTGGCTTTGGATAGATTATGTCTTTAAATTTATTTTTGAATAATGAGTGGATATTATTATAAAGATATTTTGGCACGGCTGATTAATTACTCCATTTTATTGCTTTGTAAGGTAATGGGTGTCGATATTGGAGATGGCAAAGTTTTAATTTCTTTTATAACCTTGAAATTTCAAAAAAAAAGACTCCTTGGCATGTTGAACCTTATAATGCCAAGATTAGAAGCTTCAGAAAGAAAATATTGGGAATTGTGATTGCCATTTTAACATTAGATAACCTTGATTTAATATCAAATATCGAAAGACTTTCCTTGCTTCATAACATTTGAGTTTTTTTCAACCCAGCAATATTAGATATCTACATTTTAAAATGCTACTACTTTGTACGTCCCAATTATCTATAAAACAAAAAAAAACATTATAATAAAAGCTACTTTATAGTAGCAAATTTTGTATTTTAATTCTTTATTTTAAACCTTTCCATTATTTCAGAAACTGTCCAATAAGATTTTGCAATCCATTGTTAAAGAAAGATGTTTCACAAAAAGCACTTTTAAAAAAAATGTATTCAGATGATGTTAATCTAATCGTATTTGATCCACCTTTATGGAGACAAAGACGTGCTACTGTTAATGAGGAGCTGTTAAAAAATAACATCACTTCGGTATTTATTATTATTATTATAATTTGTTTGTTTTTCATTGAATAAGGTGTTAGTTGATAATAAAAATGAGTTTTTTTGTTAGGTTTTTGATTTTGGTTGTGGAGAAGGCTCACTTCTTTCTTTTCTCGTACAACCTGACGATGAAACACCTATAACACGTCTCGCAGGCCTTGATATTGATGAAAATATTCTTGACGCAGCAATAGAAAATTGTTTACCTTGGGAGCAAGATATTGAATTTTTAAGAATAACTCCATTAACAATAGATTTGTACCGAGGTTTTAGATTGGATGATTTTTAAATTATTTTAATTATTGATTTTTTTTTTTTTTTTTAGGAGAAAATTTTTTTATTAATTGATCGATATTTATTGTAAAAATTTTAGGAAGTATTGATGTTGCAGATGAACGATTAATTGGATTTGAAGCTTTGGTTTGTATGGAAGTGTATGTATAAAGTTTATTATCAAAAAATATATATGTATAGATATATGAAATTATTTTCATTATTATTTAATTATTTATATACCAGCTTATTTATGAATTGTTTTTTACAAGAATAGAGCATGTTGACCCGCCAGTGTTAGATAAATTCTTTGATGTGGTATTTGGAACTTACAAACCAAAGCTAGTGATAGTGACTACACCAAATGTAGAATTTAATATATATTTCCCTCAATTAAAATATGGCACTTCAGAGGCAACTTTGAGAATTGAAGATCATCGATTTGAATGGACAAGACAAGAATTTCAAGATTGGTAATTTATTAAATATCTAAATCTAAATCGATGTATATGAATATTAATAATATGCATATTAAATTTTTTTAAAAAGGTGTAATTCTGGTGCTTCCAAATACAATTATTCAGTGGAATTTACAGGAGTTGGTAGATTGAAAACCAGTGATCCAGCAGTAGGATTTGCCACACAGATTGCTATATTTAAAGATTTACTACCAGGCTCAAAACCTATGTTGTCTACCTTTGATAGAAAATACGAACATGTTAAACACATAGTATTTCCTTTTTATGAAGAGCCTGAAAAAAGTGTTCCGGAAATACTTGAAGTGATTCATTATTACATGAAATATTTGTGTAATAAAATAAAATATTATTTTAGTGATGATGATGATGATTACTACAACGTTGATAGTGAAAATGGAAAACTAGATGAAAATCAAGTTAATCTAAATGAGTTATGGAATATTCACCGAATAAGGCAACTTTGTAAAAGTAAAGATAAATTAAGAGATATAATTTCAACTTGTGATGATTTTACATTATTGGATAAAAACAGAATCTTGGTTCATAGAAAATATGAAATAGAAGTATTTAATAATGGTAATAATGAAGAAGAATGGAAATTCGACAACAACAACAACAACAACAACAACAACAACAACAACAATAATAGCGAAGACGGTTACAACAAATTTGAAGAGCAACAACAATGGAGCTCGCCACTGCCGACTATTTGGAATGATTGTGATGATTATTGGAAAAATGATGATGATGAAAATGACGAAAACAACAATAGTCAAAGAGATCAAAATGAAATAAATTGGGTTTTATAGAATAAGTGTGTATGCGCAATTTTTTTGTAACTTGTAAACATAATAAAAAAATCTTTGATACGATCCAATCTTTTATTTAATTCAGATACTATTTTCATTATTGACACAAAATCATCTATATCATTGTGTTCGTTAACTGAACAGGATTCATCCAAAGATTCTACTTGACCTTTTGGTAATATTATCAATATAAAATTCAAATAACCATTCTGAATATTTTTCTTGAACGAGTTGCCTAATTATTTTTGTTATATCTTTTATTTGTGTCAAGATTTTTGTTAGCATAAAGTTCAATATCATTTCTTTGTATGAATAACAAATAATCAATTTTTGCCGAGTGATTTAATGGACAAACAAATTTAGATGAATGAATGAATGGGATTCCTTGGGACTTTGAATTTTGCCAAGGGTGTTTCGATTTATACTTTTCCGAAAGTTTTGAATGGAACTGATAAAATAAAGCTATGTTTCACAATTTTACATCTACAAATAAAGAATTGCATCGATTTTAATAAGAATAATAAGCCAAATAATAAAATTTTAAATTAGATTCATTGATTAATCAATCAGTCCATTAAAAAATTTTTTGAAGGCAGTTAACATTAACGTTAACATCAACATCAACGTTGATGTTGACATTGACATAACATTAACATCAAGCCAAGTTAATACTCTATCGATATACTATATTTTCGTAATATTTGAAAATTCTTTTTGCCTTCTAAAGAAAAAAAAACTAAAAAGCTTATATGAAAAATGTTGTTGCACTAAATTAATTTTGTTCTTTCTTCTTGATGATGATGATTGATGATCAAGGATTTAATTTATTTGATTATTATAAATATTTAAAAAAAAAAAATGTCATCAAAAAGATTAGCTGATGTTTACGGTATTTACAATGCTTGTACAAATGTAACATCAAACATCTTGAAAATTCAACGAAAGAATGCAGAAATTTTTATAAAGACATCAAATTGGAAATGGTCAATAAATCATCTGCAAAAACCGCCAAATTATAATAAATCAGATGATGAAAAAATATTTGAAATAGAAGAAAAAGAAAAGAAAATTGATGTTAATGTTGTTGATAATAGTTTAGATATTGATAATAATAATCCATCAGATCAGGTAAATATATGTTTCGTAAATCATGAATTCTTTCGAATATGAATTTTTATTGCAAATATAACAATTAATTGTTTCAAAGATACATAAAAATGTTCTTAAAGAATCAAAAATCCCAACAACAAGAATCGGTAGATTATTTCATTATGGTGGTAAGTAAATTGAGTTAATAATATTGATTTGAGAAAAGAGAGGAAATTAAGAATCTATAATGGAACTTTTTAAATGATCAATTATCTATCTGTTCATATCATAGGTTTGGCTGTAGGGATAGGAATTGGCGCAGCAGGTGAAACCTTAAGAAGAGTGACAGGAAATTCAAAATCTCAAGGTTTTTGATTGATTATTTATTATTTTATTATTATTATTTCATCAGAGATTAGAATTTAAATCTTGCAAATTTAATATTTATCGCCATTGTTAATCGTCATTATCATATATATAAGATGGTTCTGTGTTAATAAATGAGGCAAATATTAATCGTCTGGTTAATAGATTATCCAGAATGAGAGGTGCAGCTTTGAAGTTAGGACAAATGTTGAGTATTCAAGGTAGAGTAAACGAATTTAAAAACCATAATAAAAAGAAAAGCGAAATTAAAAAAAGGATTGAACCATCTAAATAGTAATAATCTGTAGATAATGATGTGTTACCGGAACAATTGGAAAACTTACTTTTACGACTTCAAAATAGTGCTAATTACATGCCTAATTGGCAAATGGAGGTTTGTTTGTAAAATTAGTTTAAAAAGGGGGTTTTCTAAATTTTCTGATTATTTCAAAGAATATTCGCACAATTTTAGAAAGTGATGGCGAAAGAATTGGGTAAACATTGGCGCCAATATTTTATGAAATTTAATCAAATACCAATTGCAGCAGCATCAATTGGACAAGTACACGGTGCAGAATTGATAGATTCCAAGATTCCGGTGGCCATAAAGGTTCAATACCCAGGTGTCGTTGAATCAATTGATTCAGATTTAAAAAATCTAAGAACTTTAGTCATATTAAGTAATTTATTACCCAAAGGACTTTACCTTGAGAATACAATTAAAGTGGCTAGAAGAGAATTGGCGTGGGAAACTGATTATGTGAGAGAAGCTGAATGTATGGAGAAGTTTGATGAGTTATTGAAAGATGATAAAGATTTTGTTGTACCAAAAGTTTATAAAAATTTATCAGGAAATATGGTATTAACGTCTGAACGAATGATGGGCGAACCATTGGCATATGCTAATAATTATAGTCAAGAATTGAAAGATCAAGTTAGTGCGTATATATGTGTGTGTTTGTTATTGTATATTTATATTTATTATATTTATATAAATAATATATATTTTTGTAGATTGGGGAAAGTTTTTTAAGATTATGTTTACGTGAATTATTTGAATTTAGATTCATGCAAACTGATCCAAATTGGACAAATTTTTTTTATAACAAAAAAACAAGAAAGGTAATTTAATTTGATAATTATCATATTTAATAGTTGATCATAAAAATAATTGATTGATTAATATTATAAATATTAAAATAAACAGATTGAATTGATTGATTTTGGTGCAAGTAGAAGTTTTGATCAAAAATTCACTGATTTATATTTGCAGATTTTAAAAGCTGCAATCAAAGGAAACAAAGAAGGCTGTATACATTATTCTGAACAATTGGGATTTCTAACCGGATATGAGACTGAGGTATATGATACATATGATACATATGATATGTATGATAATTATTGCACAAGAAAATAGAACAAACAAAGTTTTTTTATAATTATTTATTAGGCAATGAAAGATGCACATGTTGAATCAATATTAACATTAGGAGAACCATTTACAAAATCATTATATGATTTCTCAAAACAAACTATTACTCACAGAGTCAGGGATCTGATACCAACAATGTTAAGATATAGATTAACACCACCACCTGATGAAACTTATAGCCTACATAGAAAATTATCCGGCGCTTTTCTATTATGTGCTAAATTAAACTCAAAAGTAAGATGTAGAAATATTTTTGAAGAAATTGTTGGGGAAATTTAAAATTATTGTATCTGGTATCGATTTTTAATTGGTCAAAGAATAATTATATTAAATAAAGTTAGCAGTGTAACATTTGTTTACATAATAAAATAACGTTGATTGATAACAAATTTTTTCATGAAAAAATGTCTACTATTACTAAAATTGAAAACCATGAAAATGCTTCAAAAGAAATAATGGCGAATCAAGATTTTGCCGAAGAAAATATTTCAGACGATAAAAATGATAATGAAGTAACCGCAGCAACAGGGGGAGGAGCAACAGCGTCGGAAAAATCAAAAATAGAAAAGATATTGCCGCGTGATGAATGGAGAAAACTTAAAAAGAAACTACAAAAGAAAGATCAAAGAATAAAATTAGCAATAGCAAGAAAAAACAAGGAATTAGAAGAAGCCGATTCAGTGGCAGGAGAAGAAAAATCAAATGAAAAAGAAATAAAAAGGTATCTAATAAAATCAATTGCTATTAGTTAGATATATATGTGTGACATATATATGAATGTCATTTATTAATATACATATGCATATGCATATACATTCAATTAAACTAAAGAAATCTTGAAAGAATATTATGGGAAGTAAAAGAGAAACAAATTGAACAAGCAAATGCCGAAAAAAAGAAGAAGCATGAAGAGGAGGAGAAAAGAAAGAAAATAATACAAGTAATGTTAATATCAATATTAGATAGTAATATTAATATCAATAATGATTGCAATATTAATTGTTGAATTTTTAATTAAATCTAATTAATTATGTAGGAAAATTGGGAAAAAACAGTTAAAAATATAAAAATTGCAGAACCCACGCTTCTCAATGCTACTAATAAGATTATCACTACACCAACATCAACTGTGGATAATAATCCATCTTTGAATGACGAGGATACATCAATGAAATCAGATTATGGTACAGAAAAAGTATTGTACCCTATGAATAAACCAATCAATCTATTAATCAATATAATATTTTATTTAATAATATAATATTAATTTTTAACAATATAAATACATCTATTACATTTATAAATTTCATATAACACATGAACTTGTAAATTTATTTAATAACCATCATGACTATTATATTAGGATCAAATAAATTGTCCATTCTACATTAAAACTGGAGCTTGTAGATATGGAGAACAATGTGGTAGGATTCATCCATATCCAGAAATAAGTAATACTATTCTAATTAAAAATATGTATGAAGGGATGCCAATTCAGTTAGCAGACGAAGATAATGATGATAATTTGGAGGTAATGATAAATAACAGATATATAATTGAACAAATCAAATGATACTTTATGAATCACTCTTCATATCCTTTATAATTTTAATTGTTTAAATTATATTTTTTCAATATTTTAATAATTTATTATCACAATCATCATTATTAAAAATCAAGAATGTAATGTTAAAAAAATGGAAAAAAGGAAAGATGTTGTTGTTATTGTATCTTTTACAAAATATATGCAAAAATATTGTATAAATATATATATATATATTTATATATATATATATATCTGTTTTTTCAAAAAAAATATTTCCTTGACTTATTATTATTATCATCATTATCATCATCATTATTATTGGGATATTTAATAATCAATAATATATACATATTATTTATTTATATAGTATGATGAGATAGAAGCTGAACGACATTATCTAGAATTCTTTGACGATGTTCACAATGAATTTAAACAATACGGAACAATCATTCAATTTAAGGTTAGAATAATTATATCTAATAGAAGATATATATATATACACACTGTATTTACTTTGGATATAAAGATTTAACACATACATATATATAAAATTATATTAGGTTTGTAATAATTTTCAAATGCATTTACGTGGCAATGTGTATATTCAATATTCAAATAATGAAGAGGCAAAAAAAGCATTAGAATCTATAAATGGAAGATGGTATGCTGGTAAACAATTAAGATATGAGTTTTGTCCTGTTACAAAATGGAAACCTGCAATATGTGGTATGTAATCATATAATAATAACACTAGTGTGTATTATTTAAAATTAATATATATACATATATTTAATAACAAACAATAGGATTCTATCAAAATAACAAGTGTCCAAAAGGCATTAACTGTAATTTTCTACATGTTTATAAAAATCCTGGAAATTTATATGTTGATGCTGATAAAGATCTTACTATTAATAACTTGGATCATTATCATCATAAATATCATGATAGAAATAATAATAATAATTATAATAATAATAATCATTACGATAAAAGAAGAGATTATAAGGATAAGAAAAGGAGGAGAAGTAGCAGTAGTGATAATATCAATAATAAGAATAGTAGGAGTACTAAGCATAAGAGTCATGAAAACAAAGATAAAGTTTCATCACCTGTTTACACCCCAAAATCACCAAATTTCTCTTCAATTGGATTATCGAAAATCGATGAAATTAATATTTAAATAAAGGTATATATTGTGTCTTGCATGTAACTTTTCGCTCGTAAGAAAAAAAAAGAAAAAAGAAAATTCCGTGCTAGGTTTAATCTTGCGTAATTCTGGTAAACAAGGGTCATAGGACACATTTATTACACTTGATTTTATTTTATTTTATTTAAATATAATAAATTTACAAAGTAAATCAAATCATTAAATTCTAACTATCAGGCTCGATCGTGACACCTTTTTTAATCTTTCCCCATCCAATTAATCTAGTTCACAATCCAAAGAAAAAAATTGATATTATTATTATTATTAAAAAGATTTTCAATTATATTTAACCAATCAATATATCAGTATATAATATATGTATAAATAATTAAATACCTCCAATGTTTATCAATTCTTCTAGATAAAGCAATTTTTTCCTCGATTTCAGTACAAGCCGGACTTGTCAACTGAATTCTTGCCATATCAGTTTTTACATTCAACACACGTCCACCTGTTGAAGTTGAACCTATATTAACCATCAATACCTCACTTTTTGTTAATTTACTAACCTGAATATAAATTAATATAAATTAGTGTATATATATAAATACATATAAATTAACATTAATTGCTTTATAAATATGGTTACTTTTGTCTGTTTTTTATCGTCAGTTTTAACACCTAATAACCTTCTTAACAAGAAATAATTAATTTCAAGTTCTGTGTAAATTTGTGGAAGTTTACCAACAGATCCTAATACTTGACCAACTAAACGATCAGCTCTACAAAGCGTAGGGTCAATTTTGGTACCAACACCTATTATAATAATAATAATAATTATTATTATTATTATAATTATTATATAAATATTATAAATAATTTTTTTTTTTTATCTAAAGGTAAAAACATGTTACCAATCAATCCACCAGGTACAGCGAATTTTAAATCATTATGCTCAGCAAATAAAGAAACAATTCTTGAAAAAATAGGTTTACAGTGTATTTTCCCCTCATTATCTTTTGTAAGAATGCCCGGTCTTACCTCAATTTCATCACCAACCTTTAAAATGAAATTTAATTAATAATTTAGCTATATATAATTTTTTCATTAGAACAGAAGCAGCTGATTACCTTTAAAACACCACATAATAATGAACCACCCGCAACACCACCTTTGAGTTCGTTGACTTCTGCACCTGGTTTATTTACGTCAAATGAACGAATCACAATTAATCGAGGATCAGATGTAAAGTCGCGTATTGGGATGGGAATTTTCTTGACGATATATTCATTAATAACATCAATGTTATATTTTAATTGTGCCGATATTGGAACTATTGGCGCGCCATCAGCAACAGTTCCTTTATAATATGATTATATAAATTAATATCTAATTCGTATGATAATATAATAATAATAATAATAATAATAATAATAATAATTAAAAAAGATTTAATAAGATTAATTTACCTTTTACAAAAGATAATATGCTTTCGTAATGCTCTTCACATGCACTCTCTTTACATAAATCAACTTTATTTTGTAAAATTATGATATTTTTAAGCTTCATTATTTCAATTGCTGCAAGATGTTCACTTGTTTGTGGTTGTGGACATGATTCATTTCCTGCAATTAATAGAAGAGCTGCATCCATAACAGCTGCACCATTCAACATGGTAGCCATAAGAATATCGTGACCAGGACAATCTACAAATGAAACATGACTATTTAAAAAAAAGAAGGTAAATATCAATTATGAAAATATAAATAATAATAATAGTTTTGTTATTATTACATAAGACCATACCGTAACAATTTCATTTTCCCGCCACATCCAGCTCTTTCACACAATGGATGTTCCTCCTTATCACTTCGATACGATTTGTAACATCCAGGTCTGAGACATTCTTCATTTTCACATTTATAAACCTTTTTATGAAAAAAAAAAAGTTATTTATTTATTTTACAAATAATTAATTGATCAAAATAATTAAATCTCCGATTGATGAATATTGGTTAAATACCTTTGCATTAGCATATCCTAATTTTATGGTGATATTACGTTCAAGTTCGTTCTTGAAACGTACAGTCTAATTTTGATTTTTTTTTTTTTTTTATAATATAAATCTATAAAATTGTAAACAAAAATATAAAACTTGGAAAGTTCTTTTCATAAACATGCAAAATGATACTCACTTGAACACCAGAGATCGCTTTCACAACAGTGGATTTTCCATGAGCCACGTGTCCAATAGTACCTATTTAATTATTTTTCCCCAGAGTTGATTTTTATTTTTAATAGTTAAAAAAAATAATTTCATTTAATCATTAAAACATAATGTGAATTTCATAAATTAAATACCAATGTTAATAGTTGCTTGTCTTGAAATGACTTCAGGAGAAAGTGGATTTAGGGTTGCGGGATCTACTTCGACTATTTCAATTTTTTCTTCAGCAGCAGTTGCCATAATTTTTTTGTTTGCAAAATGCAAAAAAAAAAAGATACTATATATCAAAAAATTTACATATTAATCGCAATTTTATTTATCATGTGATTTTTTAAAAATGAAGTCATGTGATTCTCCAAGGATAAAAAACTGACATCATGGTGTTCGTGTGCAGTTTAACGGACCGAGAAGTTTATATGTCATGTATATATATAAGTCATTACTATCTATATATAACGTATTATCTCTATACCAGAGATTTTTTCTTAAGCCAAATGGTCTGCTATAGATAGAGTGAACTGTAAAGTCAAAGCCATAATAATAATTTTTGATTTTTTACCAACGAGATCACAAGGTAAGCGATATATCAGTCAATATTAGGCTTATTAGACTCTATAAGAATAGCCTTACTCATGTGCGAATCTAAAATATTAAAATTTAAAATCAAGATTTTCCCAGAAATGTTGTGAGTTGAGGAGAGAGATCAATAACAAGATAATAATATCTTTATTGAACAATTTATATCTAAACAAAGATCTCTACAATAGAGTAACTCTAGTTGGCGCGTATATTTAACACAAATTTATAAAGGTAACGAATTTATTTTTCCTTTCTTTCAAGTGTCATTTCACGAATTGTAAAAATTAAATTTACAAAATAAAAAATGAAAGATTATTTTACCTCTTGTACCAAGTCTACATCCTCCTCGCCTTTGGAATTTTTTACTAATGTGCAATTCTTTTTTCTATCACAAAAATTAGAGACCACTACATTTTTTTTCACACCTTAGACGTGCTTTTCGACATTGGTCACAGTGATAGACAAGACGCTGGTATGTTGTTGTTGTATTTGTTGTTTGTTGTGTTGTTGTTGTTGTTGCACTTGTATATTTGAACGAAACACATTTTTTTTTAAAATTAATTCCTGTTTGGTATATACCAAATAAAATCTCGATCCCGTTCTAGGATGTTCTAGAATTCAATTATTATAAATATATGTTAGGAGAAAATTTAAACAAATTTATTTTTTAAAAATGAGTTCAATTGAGAACAAGATATCTTTGAAAATAACCAACAAGAAGACCACAAGAAAGTTGCTTATTTATGGACAAATATGATGATGACCAAGGGTTGATCCAGCATAAAGACCCACAAATTTGGTGGTGAATGTGGAAAAAGAAAGGTTTGATATTAGAATTATTTGCAGATCCATTAGTTGACCAAATATGAACAAGTTTTCTAACTATTGTCTTTCTTTTTCCTTCATAAAAGGGACGATTATTTAATATTATAATAATGATTAGTTAGCCTGACTTTTATAATTCAGGGAGAGTGTCATACATGCATTGAAATTTTGTGTCTTTTTAACAGTCTCATCCATAGAAACCGCCGCTAGTTCTGAAGATGACAAAACACTTTTGTCAAATAGAGCTGAATCAGATGTCATAAAAAATTACGCGATACAACAGGGTCGCTTAATTATTTTCCACGATCCAAGTAAGCGATTAAACTCGAAGAGAAAAATAAAAATTTGAAACATATTATTTATGTGAAACTTATTATTATAATATTTATCAGAAAGATTTCATTTGATCATTTGACGTAAATATAATGAGTCGAATATATGATGAATGAATGAATCAATGTATAGATGAATGGATGAATGGATGAATGAATGAATAAATGGACAACAATAAATAACAACATTGGTCCCTGCAAATCCAAACATCATATACAGCAAACAGTATCAACCATAATTTATACAGTCCAATAATGATAATATTACCTGCTAATCCAAATAACGAAAATTTATTTTATTCCGGGAAAATTATTAATTAAATGAAAAAAAGTGTAAAAAAATTTTAAAATTAAAAAAAAAAAATTTTACTAATTGTCATTATTTGTAAAACAATAAGTATAAATAATTATGAATTAAAGATTTTTCTCACATCATTTAGTTGGAAGAGTACAAGAGAGAGCATTATAAATTTTGTTATTTTTATAGTTGTAATTTCTCCAAATTATAAAAAAAATATTCCTTTTTTCTCCACAATCTAACTTGCCAAGTTTATATAATATGACGTGCTGTAAGGACGATTATTAATAATACCAATCAAAGTTAAAAAATTTTTTTGCTTCCCCACAATTGACTTTATATGGATATTTAACAAAATATAATATATGCAGTTTAAAAGAAAAAATTTTATTGTAATTGTATATTTTAATAAATAATTATTATCTTACATTATATACAACTTTCTTATTTGTTCATTTATTCATTCATATTCATTTTCTATTTTCTTATTATTATTGTATAAAGAGAGAGTAGGATGGAGACATATAAAAATTGATTACTAAATCATGACAAATAATATCCATCACAGCGTAATTGATTATTTAACAAATATCTTTCCCTTTTGTGAAAAATGTACAACAAATAACACATAAATTTCATTAATTAATTGTATATATGTATATACGCACAACAGGTAAATAAAGAAAATCGGATTAAAAGAAATTTTAAAGTTTTTTTTTTTAAGGTTTTATATTGCGTTGTGTAACTGCCAAGTATAAAATGATTTATTTGGAAATAGTGATGTCAAAAATTTGATAAACAACAAACAGGTTCAAATAATTAATCGAATCACAATCAATCCGGGTTTTAAAATAAAGTACGATACCCACACGGATACAACAATATAAACATTAAATAATCATAGAAAATTTGGTAATAAAATTATATAATAATTATAATAAAGCAATTATTGGTGGCCAAACAATTTTTTTTTTTTTTCATTAGTACATTTTTACACGACATTAATGTTTGTTTCGCGTATCTGTAATTTATCATATCGAAAGGCGAGAAAGCGAATGACTGAAAAAGAGTGAATAAAGCCAGCGAATTGAAAATTAAAAAGAATCGACTAGGAAGAAAGAGAGTTGTTAGTGTCTGTTAGCGCTGCCCAAAGAGAGACACCGTATAAATCTGGAGCACCATTATCAGTACAAAAATGTATTACAGATATCCTTTTTTAGAAATAATTAGTTCAAACTGCTAAAATTAATTAACAACCACTTATCATTAACAATTGGAATGAAAACGCCACTTTATCATTTTTTAGGTAAAATTAAATAAATTTGGAGATGATAATTAAGGCGACAAAGCAGGGGACGGCGATGAAAGACAATTGATAAAAGTTAATAGAAATCTTTGCCATTATATGTGAGTGATATGCATAGTATTTTTTATTTTCTATATTTTCCATTCTATATACCATAACTAGCATATAATAAAATATATGCTCCTTATTTGACGACACAATTTCAATAATTATGTAATTAAATACTTATATGCATAATTTTATAATTTCATACGCAACAAATTTATTTTAAATTTCCCGATTTTTTTTTTATCGTCGTCGTCGTCGTCGTCGTCGTCGTCATCGTCATCTTATATTTTTTTCGCGTGTGTGCGTTTTGCATTTTTACGACTGATTTTTGAGATGGGTTTTTTTACGGTGAATATTTTTGTGTGTAATTTTTCTGATATATAAAAATTTTATTTTTTTTTGTGATGCATGTAATGCATGGTAAAGTGTGGAATAAAATTGGATTAAGATTTCTAAAAAGTCGGTATAATTAATTACATAATTATTACAATACACAAGCACAAATAATGCACAAACAAACAAACAATAAATAAATAAACTCACGTACAAATAATGTCACAATGTACGCATCATTTTTCCCAAGATCTTTTGTAAATCATCATCATCAGCAGGTTACTTTAACATTGTTGTGTATATTGTTATGTCATGTAAAGATTGTAAAATGATAAAATCACGCACAGTGTTTTGATTTGAGTTTGACAGCCGAATTATATTTTATAATTATTTGGATTTACAGTTGGTTGGTTTGAGCAGATTTTGAAAAATAAACAAGTTGACAAAAATTCCAATACTCACGGTTCAAAATTGGTTAGAGGGGGGTGTTTTTGTTATACTGCATAACTGGCAACAATTAACAATTTATATAATCATAAACAAAACACACAGACATTTTCTATAAATTACCACGCGAAACAGAATGATATTAAATAATCTTAATAATCTTTAAATAAAATATTAATAATATTAATAATGTAAATAATAAAATAACATATTAAATTAATCAATCTTTTTTCCTTATTACTAAATAAAAACAACTTTTATTGTATTATAATAATCTTCGTCTTTTATTTTGTTTGTTTGTTTGTTTGTTTGTTTTCGTTATTTTTTTCGTAGTTCCCGCCATTAATTCGTTCGTTCATTTTCATTCGTTCATTCGTTCGTTAATTTACTAGTTTATCTTTCATTCATTTATTCATTCATTCATACTTTCTTTCTTTCTTTCTTTCTAAATCATAAAAATTAACGACAAAAAAATAAAGATAATTGATGTTAGACGTACGTGCACACAATTCATTGTGATAAAAAATTGGTCAGTGTCCTTGTGACATGATGATTATTTTCAGGGGTAAACAATTTCGCCAGTAAAATTAATTGTTAAATAATATTTATTTGGTAAATAAAAAGAGCACCGACCAACTCTTTTTTTCGAAACGAAACACAGGAATAAAGATGGTCAATTTAAGAAATTGGTAAATTTTAATTGGTTTAACTGATTACCAAGTCTTTATTACTAAATGTTTGGTTGATTATTTGATCGAATCTATCATATTGTTTTGATTAGAAAAGGCATATAACAATATAAAATATAAAATATACATGCTGCACCGTATATGTAATAATATGTAATAATGATCTAGACCTGCTCTGTAGATCACATGTGAGGTCTGTTCTCAAATAGATAAACAACACACGCGCGCGTGTGTGTGTTGCGTATGTGTTTGAAAAAGAGAATGTATTTCGAGCAAAGGAAATCGATTCATAATTGGTTGATTATATATTATTTACTATTTATTTTATTTATTTATTATTATATTATATTTAATTTAGGTCAAGTTTTTTTTTTCCTAAAACAACACATTATCATGTTTTATTTTGTTCTTTTTCAAAGCAAAAAAAAAGGTTTCGTAGTTGTTTTATCATCCTCGTGCCAATTAATGTCTTTTGTGTTTATTTTTATTATGAATTAAAAAATTTATTTTCTCGATTGAGTAACTGTATTAATCGTTATCTTAATATGGGAGAATAATTGGTAACGAATATATATAACAAATGAAATTATCTTTCTTTCTAAAAAAATACTTTCTTTCTAAATGTAAATAAAAAATAATGACGATTTATTTATTTCTTGTCAATAAGGTAAATGAATAGTTTGTAACTTTATTGTTTGTGTTATATATATATATATATGCATTGAGAATGATCTTCACCCAATCCCTTTTCCACATGGTTTTTTTTAAAAAAAGAGACCCATTTTCTACTTCGTTACCCAAGTATTTCATATACATCATAATTCCCCCATCATAACTATAATTTTATATGACATGCTCATGCCCATATCATATGCTACATAATACATGTATGTAATTCTTATTTAACCAATCAACCAATCAACCACAACTATTAGAGTCGGTAAGCACATATATAATAATTTTCATCAAAATCATGAATGAATATTGCATTAATTTACACAGTGTATAACCGGTTAATTGGTTTATTAAATAATATAATAATATATATTGATTATACATACTATGTAATATATATATATATATATATATATGTTACCCTGAAATGACTTATTTGTATATGTGAGAGTATATGCGTGCTTGAATAATTTTTTAAACCTGACAATCTTATGGTTAGGTTTTTTTTTTAATAAAAATTCCCCCACAATCTTTTTTTTTTTTTTTTTTTTTTAAAAGAATGAAACAATTGGTTGTCGTACTTGATAATAAAATAAAATAGAATATTACATCAATCGTTTATGAGAAATAAATCAAAGGAAATTATAACTCGCATTCACACACACACACACAAAATATTATAACACAAGCTATTAATTGACTAATTATATATTTTTCACGTTCGTTCATCGATCGATCGGTAAAATCAAATCCACAAAATGTGTATATTGTGTGATTGCGTTATAATGACGAATGGACCTGGTAAATCGTTTTCATATGATTTCAACTTATTTTATTTGGAGAAAGATTTTCTTACGATGAGGTTTTTTTGAATAGAGGCCGTTTATCTGGATCGGTCGTTGATTTCTAAAGTTGAATAAATGTGATAATTTAAGTAATAATTTTTTGTGGATATCTTTATTTATCTCATATATAATCAACATTTTGGCATATGACTTTTTATTTTTATTTTTATTTTTATTTGGAATTAAACCAAAAATTCGGGAAACAAGAAATAATTTTTTTAAAAAAAATTTTAATTAATTAGTTGGCTGGTTGGTTGTTAAAGTTGGTTGGTTGGTTAGTTGGTTAGTTGGTTAGTTAATTAATTAATTAATTAATTAATTAATTAGTTGATTATTAGTAATCAACTATACAACAGCTAAACCAAAGTAATTGCAATAATAGTAAAGAGGTTGTTGGGATGAGGGATGATGATGGATCATGGGATGGGAAAGAGATAATGAATAGATAGATTGATGACGATAATGAATATGGTGTAATTAATTGATAAATGATGATAATAGGGTGAGTGGTGGGTGAATTGATAAATAATTTTTATTTATCATTTTATTATTATTAACGAGAATGAGTGAATGAATGAATGAAAGTATTAATCCCACCTTCTAAATATAGAATGAAATAGAAACCTTACTTACTGCCTGCCACGCTATTAGTATTAATCACCGCCACCCAATTTTTAAATGGATCAATTTGTCTTACCCCTGATTAAAAAAAAAAAAGGGTTTTTTTTTATTGTATAAAATTAATAATATATTATGATAATAGATATATAATAAACTATTATTTTATATATAATTGATATTTTTCCCACCTTTTTTTTTTTAATTTAAAAATAAATAAATAAAATAAAATAAATAAATAAATAAATAAATAAATAAATAAATAATAATAATAATAAAGTAAATTATTTTATATTAAAAAAATAAAATAAAAAGAGAAAAACTAATGGTAAGATATTGTTTATATTAATTAAATTTTATATAAAGAGCCAATTTTTTCGAAAACAAAAAAAAAACAAATTAATTTCTTCAAAAAAAATAATACAAAAATAAATAATATAAAGAAACGTATACAATAAAAAATAAATCTTTTTAACGAATAGTCAGTCTATTATTAATTTCAACTTTTTTTCTTTATATATATATTCCTTTATTTCTTCTCTTGTTAGTATTTTTTTTTTAATTCTTAATTAATTATTATCATTACATCTCTTTACATTTAACAATTCAAACCTTTTTATAATTGGAAAAAAAATCCAATCATACATTTCTGGACAATCCATTTTTGATAAAATTTATTTTTTTTATTTCATTTTTTTGTTGTGTCGATCGTTACTATACAACAACATATTAAGGTAACCGTTTTATTTTATATATAAAATCCCTTGTTATTAAATTTCTACCAGAAAAAAAAAATTTTTCTCTCTTGAAATTTTTTATTCCATCTACGCACTCACGCAACGCACGCACACGTATATATTCCAAACGAATAGATTCTTTAATATACTTTTTTTTTTATTTCTTTTTTAAAATAAATTACTTTTTTGTCTTTATAAAATTTTATAATATACACGTAAAGTTTACAAAAATTTACAAAAATGGAAATCCCTAATAATAATGGTTCCAGCAATTACAACAATTATAATAATGACAACAAGATTATCTATAATAGTAATAATAATCATCATCATCACTACTACAATCATCAAAAAAACAATAATGAATATCAACGGGAATACGTTTCTTCTACAAAAATCAACAATGACAACAATAATCAATTAGTGCATCACCATCACCGTCATCATCAATCTTTTCTTCCACAACTAAATGACCATCATCATCATCATCATCATCATCATAATTATCATAATCATGATGAATATTATTATCAATCATCACCTCTTTCTTCATCGCCACCATCATCGTCATCATCGTCATCATCGTCATCATCATCATCATCACCATCTTCCTCGCCACCATTCTCTGCATCTCCATTCCCACCTTCACCATCGTCATCATTCAATAGCAATAGTAACTACTACAATTATCATCTCATCAATGATCCAAAATATTTCTCGGATATATCATCATCGTTGTCCCCAAAGGAAAAATACCATTATAAATTATCAGGTCCAACTCCTCCATTAACACCACCACGTCAAGATCGTTGTATTACCACTAAAAGACGCAAAAGAAATAATTCATCGTCATCTTTGTCTTCCAACTCGTCGTCCTCCTCCTCATCTGCATTACCTTCACCATTATTGATGAAAAATTCTAATGGAAACATGATCAATTTATTGAATAACAATGACGATTATAACAGAGCAATCGATGATAATGGTGATGCATCAACTTTACAAGATCTTCCAATGTTTCGTCTTAAAGCGAATTCGACTGCTGATCAACAAAAACAGACAAATGCAACGATTGCTACTGTTAATGATGAAAGAAAATCTTCTTTATCATACTCTGATGATGGTTTATTAATATATGATATTAATAATTCTAATAATAACAATGTCAATAATAATGCTAATGATTCTTCAACACAAATATCAAAAGCACTATGTGAAATCTCCAATAATCATAGCAATAATAATACTTCTTTATTAACAAGCAAACGTAAATATCCATGTTCTTTTCCAAATTGTGGAAAAAGTTTCACCACAAGGTTTGTTTTTAAATTTAATAATAATATTACTATCATTTATCATTGTGTGATTATTGATTCATTATCAAGGTAACTAACTAACCAATCAACCAACCAATTAATCAATAGTGGGCACCTCGCTCGTCATAATAGAATTCACACAGGTGAAAAGAATTTCAAGTGTCTTTTGGGTGACTGTCCTTCTAGATTTTCAAGACAAGATAATATGATGCAACATTATAGAACTCATTTATCTGCAAAAAGCAGGCGCCTAACAAAAGCTTCAGTTCATAATAGCAATAATAACAATAATAACAATAATAATAGCAATCTTCTTCATAGTGGTAATGACAATAAAATATCATTAATTAATTCTAATCAACAACGACCAGAGCAATTTTATCATAATAACAACAACAATAATATGCTATCAACAATGTCTTCTTCGATGAATATGAAGATACCAACTAGATCAACAATAATCTCATCGTCGTCTTCTTCTGATCATAATAATCAATTTATTTTACCACCAATACATACTTTTCAACCATCATTATCATCATTATCATCATCATCATCACCACCACCACCATCATCATCATCACCATCATCATCAAATTATAACAACAACAATATGGTTTTACGACATAGATTTTAAAAATATAAAGATTTTTTTCAATATTATATATATATATATAAATAAAATATAAAGATTAAAAAAATTAAATAAATATTAAATAATAATAATAATAATAATAATAATAATAATAATAATAATTATATATATTTGATGAAAATTACTGGATGAATTTCATCAATTTTAAAAAAAAATTTATTTCAAAAAGCTAACAATTAATTAGTAGTACATAATACATAAAAATTTAGAAAAAAAAAAAACAAAATATTCTTAAATTTAAAACCCCTTTTTTTTTGTAATATAATTTTCTCTCACCCCCCCCAATTTTCTTTTTCAATTATAATGGCTTTTTTTTTTAAAAAAAAATAATAAAATCATTATGAATTCTTTTTTTTAATCAATAAAAAAAAATATATAATATATATATATATGACATATAAAAAAATATATAATGAATACCTCATATTAATATAATTTTGGATAAATATCCGATAATCATAATCATGAATATTATGAATTAATCAATTTTAATTGACAATTAAGTTAAATTAAATTCCGATTGCCTCTTACCCCGCATTATTTTGTGGAAATGGTGCGACATATTTGAACTTTTATTGTGTATAGCATAAAAGTTCACTTTTTATTATATTTAAAAATATATATATATATATATATATATAATATATATGTCAAATACGCAAAAAAGCCAGTCTTCCATTTTAAGAATTACAAAAATCATTTATTTATTTATTTATTTTATTTATTTATTTATAAATAATATCATTATCTATTTTTTAACAATTCATGATAAAATATATATGTAGAATTGGTTGGTGGTTATCAGTTTCACCCCACATTTCTGTATACCCAATTTAGATGATAATAAAATGACACTTTAATTTTAATAATTTATTTTGTAGTCAGGGAGTTTCCAAATTCGGAATTTTAAATAATCGACAATCTAGATTCATTGTGTAATAAATACTGTTATCAAAAATGCACAAGTAAAACAGCAAAACATGTCATGCAACTTCAAAAATCATAAAATCATTCATTTGCCCAACCACCAGGTTTGTAATAATATAACTTTCCATTTTCAATATATATATATATGCATGCTTCATCTCTCAAGCTTCATCCAACAAAATAAATAGCAGGTTCCGATATTATTGAGACTATAATAAATAATCAAAATAAAATCCAGTACCATTATGGTTTCTCAAGACATTAAGAAAATGAATTACTTGCATCAAGTAAATATTGTTATTAACAATTGGTTGAATTTGTATAAAGAAATTCAATAAAATATGTAACATGCTTTTTACCTTAAACCACGTTGTTCAACTGGGTCTCTGGATATCTCTCGGTGCAGTAAGTGCAAGCAAATAAGGTAAAGTCTCGCAGGCGATCTTTCATAGAAACCAACGAATTTGAACTCCTGCATGAGCTTTTATTAATTGGTCATATAACTCCCAATTTACAGGATTAAGCAATTCGAGAATGTGATTTAATAATATATAGCATCATTGATATCTATATATCTCATTTAATCCAAAAGAATTGATGATGAAAATAATCGATTAATAAATATTACGTATTTTCTCTGATTATAACCAAATTATTCATTTTGCCCGTTGAAAATACACGTACATAAAAATCAGGACAATAATTCATAAAACTAAATAATAAAAATCTTATTTCATGTAAACATTGAACTTGCGGCATATGTTCTATATATATATATATATATATGGTTATTACTATGAATTTTTGTATAAAGTTACAAAAAAAAGAGCAAATGAGGTTTTAACAACATTCCTCTTCAAAGCTCTCATTTACCCAAGTCTTTATTTATTATTCCTATAATAATTATTTAAGTTAAAATTATGTAGATCGTTCTAGAATCAATTTCCATCTAGGGTAGGTAATCCAAAATCGATTTCCAAATTTGGAGCCCACCCCTTATCAACTTTGTTCTAAATAAACGAATCTTCGATTGACATATACAGAATTTTATTTGGGAGACATTTTAATGGAATTTCATTGGGGAACCACGTTTGGAACGCCCGCTCCGATTACATAAATGTCACAACGCTTGACCTGCATAGCACAAGATTATTCTCAAATAAAAAACGTGAGATGCACCATCTGTGGGTACAGTCAGGGACATTACCATATTAATATTTGCCATTCGATTCGAACCCTTTTGTCGATCAATTCATATATATTACATAAGTTAGTTACATATGAATTGATTGTGATACTTTCTTTCTTTCATAATAATAGTTGATTAAAAATCATAATCATTAGTAATAATAGACGTCTCATGATTACTGACTTTATATAAAATCCCCCGAGATATTTTTATCAAATGTGAGTTAATAAATGAATAGTCTGACCGATTATAAATGAGCAAAATGCCGACATGTGGTGAAATGATTGCAAAATTTATTAGTTGAAGAAATATTTATTAATGGTATTTGATTTCTATGTGAAAAAAATAGAATTCACGTTGATTAGATAATTTTTTTTTTTTGATTATGATTGATAATCACGAACTTGTCAGCTAGTCACATGTCAGACTTACCATTGGATTCGAAAAACAATCAGGGTAATATATTTTGGGGTACACCATTTTCATCAGTATTGTATATTTATATATATATATATATATATTAATATATATATGTGTGTACATCATAATAATACATTAAACTATTTTAAACAAAATGTCGTACTTTAATTGTATAACGCACAGGCCACCACTGCCATTCATATAAACTTGAACACTAATAGAAATTCGATCTTAAATATTCAGCTAAGCTTTAAGCCTTATCTCTCTTTTATTTTATTTCAATTGCTGTAATCAAATCAATAAGGAATAAAGTTGATATTAATAATATTTAATGACATCTTGTATAACGTTTATATTATATAATGTTCATACCGTATAATAAAAAATGTAAATATAGAGGTATGGGCAAGAAATTTTAATTATTAACGTTATTCTTTTTTTTTATATAATAACAATAACAGATAACAACAAAAACCTTAAAATTTTTTATTTATTATCAACAAAAAAACCCCTTTTTCATTCATCCGTTATCGTTTTTATATTTGTTTCTAGGTTCAATGACTATTCTTATTATAGAACACCAATAATAAGAAAAATTCACGTTCGTTCAAATGTTGACAATGTCATTTATGATGATGCATATCGCATGTGATTGGATTTTCTTGCAATGACGTTTTTTATAAAAAAAGACGGTTTTGGAGGTTTGGAAAGAAATACATCATCCGAGCTCCCCGAAATTGTTTCCAAGGCAACAAAAATATTTCAAATTAAATAAAAACTTTTTATTTATTTATTTATTTATTATTTGATAATTTAGTCATTAATTCATTTGCATGTTTTTTAACTTCTTTTACACTTGACAAAGGTCTAATAATCAATACATTCATTAAAATTTTAATCATCTAAAATAAAAATAAAAAAAAAAAAAATTTATACACAAACAAACCTTACTAAATCCATTGGATATTCTTTCCTCAATAAATTGGCCAAAACTTTTGCTGGCCCAATTAATAAAAAATTATCAACTCCTCTTTCTTTACAATATTTTATACTTTTTTGCCATTGAACAGTGGCAGTCACTTGCTTTACTAGCAATGAAGGAATTTCATCTGCTGATATTATCTAATATAAAATTGATTGATTGATTGATTGATTGATTGATTGATTGATTAATTATATATATTATTTTATATATCTATACAAACACATATATTATATCATTTTTACCGGTCTTGCTGTCACATTAGATATAACATCTACAATTGGGGTTTGAAATTTAACACCATTCAAAGCATCTTTCATCATTTCTCTTGCTGGATCCATCAATTTACAATGAAACGGTGCCCTAAATAACAAAAATAATTATATACAAAAGTTTCATTTGTAATAATAAAATTATTATAGTGACTACGATTATAATTATTGTTACTTACGATACAGGTAGATAAACTGCCCGCGCTGCAAGATGATTCAATTGAAGAGCACTTGATGCAAGATCTACACCTTCGCTTGTACCACTTATAACTGCCTAATATCATCAGTATGTATGTATGTATGTATATTTGTTGTTATTATTGTTATCATCACTATCATCATCATCATTATTATTATTATTTTACAAGATTAAAGAAACATCTGAAAAAAGAAAAAATTTGAACCTTCAAATAAACACCTGAAATGACTAGTATAATAAAACCACACCAAAGAAATAAAATAAGATAAAATAAAATATCAGTTGGAAAATATTTTATTAAACCAATCAATTGTCTAAACACGTATGTAAATTTTTTCTTTCGCGCATACACTATTAATATTAGCCAATTCTACTGATTCTCCTTTTGGTAAATTTGTATTGATTTCTTTGATCGCTTCTTGTAATTTATCCAAGTTCTCTTCTCGTACAATTAATGCTGCCATAGCTGTCTTAACTCCCAAGTTTGATACAGTTCTTGACATGGCATTTCCACGTAATCGCTTTTTTTAATAACATATACATACATATATATATATACATATACGTATAATATAAATATATAAATGAAAAAGATTGTAAAAAAATACAAGCTTTTTTTTTTTTAACTCACAACAAGTTTAATGGCATCACTTAAAGACAAAGATTTTGTAGCTACTAAAGTTACATATTCTCCTAATGAGTGTCCAAGAGCAAAATTACAACTAGATGATAAATCAAATCCATATTCTTTCTTTTTTTTTTAAAAAAAATATTATTAATTAATCAATAATAAAAATAAAAATTATAATTATAATTATAAATAATTAAACCTCCAAAACACGAAGAATAGCAACAGACGTCATTAATATCGCAGGTTGTGCATTTTCTGTTTGAGTAAGTTCTAACTGATAATAAAATTTTATTAAATTGGGAGTTTTTTTTTGTTTAATAAAAAGTAAAATAAAATTATACCTGATCACCATCAAATATCAATTTCGTTAAATTAAATCCCAAAGTTTGGTTAGCTTCGTCGAAGACTTCGCGTGATACAGAATATTTTTCGTAGAAATCTTTACCCATTCCAACATATTGGGCTCCTTGACCTACAACATACATCACATGTTTGATTATTTTATTGATCTGAATTACATAATATATATCTATACACTTTTGATATGTATATATTATTTATTTACCGGGAAAAATAATAGCGCATTTGGACTTTTCAATGCCATTCGTATTCTTTAAATAATAAATAAATAATCTAATTAATTAATTATTATATATATATAGTTTATTCAAGATAAATAGATAATTTTATAATTCTAAAAAATAAAATAAAATATAGATAGTAACCGCAAAAGTTCGAACGACTATTGAATTATTTGAATAAATATTTTTACAGGAATTTTGAAATGATTTGTATAAAGAATGGGCAAGCATTTTTTATTTATGAAAAAAAAAAAGCTTTTTCAAAATATATGTGACACAAGAGTTGATATTTATACTAATATGTCGTGTAACATCTTGTTGTCAACCTGCATAAAAAAATCAACTGTCAAGTAAAAATGGTAAAAAGATCTACGATATTTTTTATGCTTATTTGAAATCTCGGGTTTTTTAAAAAAAGATTCAATCAAAATTTTCTATTTTTAAAAAACAAAATAAATGTTCAGGGTCCATCCAAATATATTTGATCCCTTTTTTTTTTATCAATCTTGTTTTCATTTTTAAAGTTAATCATCCATCACCATGACAATATATAAATCCTCTCCCTTTCTTCTTCTTCTTCTTATTCATTGTTTGTTTATCATTTATGTAAGTGTGTGCATAATAATTTTCCTCATTTTGTGAACTAAATAAATTAGCAGTTAACATTTGAGATTCACAAGCTTGTTTATTTATTTTCTGATAGACAATTTTTTTATTATTATTTCTTTTTACGCGTAATTCCGTAAGTGGCGCAAGAATCTAAAAAAATCATATGGAAATAACATAATCATAAACAATCATAATGGTAGCAACTAGAATAACAATTAAAAATAATAAACCCTGAGTTTTTTTATTTTCTCCTTACTTTTTTTGTTGATGTGAAGCCCCTTATTTGTGTTACTACCACTATTCTTTTATTTTAAACAAGTATATATCTCTCTCGCTCTCTTTCACTCTTTCTTATTTCACACACACATACAATAACAAGAACGTACAGATTATTGTTAATTAGTACATATTAATAATAATCAATCAAAGAGATAGAATTCCTTATGATTTATTATTTATTATTTTATTGTTAAAGATTTATAAATAAAAAGGCGGAGTTCTTTCTATTAAAGGATAGAATGTGAAGTTTTTAATAATCAAAGAAGTTCAGGGTTTAAAATTTAGTGACAAAGTGCCCACTAATGTTGGTGATAATTAATCATTCCAAGGAAGTTTGATTGATGATGATTAGTACCAAGATCTAGGCATTAATGCAGAAAATTAAATAAATATTAGCGTCTACTTTGCTTAATATTAAAGGCGAACTTTGAGAGATGAAAATTTCAAACCTTTACTGTTATTGCCCTCCAATAAATTATTTCGACTCATGACAGCAAATAAATTCAACTTTGGACTGGTTCTCATATTAATTTTTTCAAAACATCTATCCAATCTTATTAATTGCGAGGATTTTCAATTGTTACATCAAGCTTGGTTATGTCCGAGGACCGTAAAACTCGGCTCAATCCTTTAATTAATAATAACCTGACGTGACACTATGTGTATATCTCGTCAATGACCATGTATTATGCATGTTATGTTTACTATTATTATTTGTAAGAACTGTGAGTGATTAAGCAAAGAAAGAAAGGATTCAAGATCATGATCCAACATTATTAGGGTATTTTGTACAGTGTTTGAACCCTTAAATACTCACTTTGTCACCCCAAATAATTGAACTAGGTATAATTAATAATTATAATTATAATAATCATTAATAATAATAATAATAATAATAATAATTAATAATATAATAATAATAATAATAATAACGTTTATTATTTTTCTTTCACATGAAGAAAATAATTGTTTATAATAAATAAATTATTTATAGAAATATTATTCTTTACTATTAATAATTGCCCAATCCCAAGTTATTGGAAAACAAACAAAAGCCAGTTTTTTGTTTATGATGAATGAAAGACGCGTTTTTTATATATTTTTTTAATGAATGAATTCTTTCTTTTTAATTAATCAATCACATGATCTGCCTGATCTTCGAAAAATATACGTGCCGTATTAAAACACGTGTTAAATTTAAACAGTTGATTTTATATAATAAAAATGCAAAGATCTTTTGAAACAGAATTATTAGTTGATAAATATAGACCAAAAAAGTTCCTTGATTTAATCGGTGACGAGGTATTATGATATTTATTTGTCATTTTTTGAATAATTAACCAATCGATAAACATTAATATAACAACGATAATAACTTTATAGAATCTTCACAGACAAGTTATGAAATGGGTTAAAACTTGGGATTTTTGTGTCTTTAATAAAAACACTATCGATGAACATGATGATCTTCAGGTAATCATCTAATATATATATATATATATAAATATGACTTGAAGAAACTCTTAATAACTTGCTTAAAACGCGTAAAAATAAATTCTTTAGGATAAATGGAAGCGTCCAAATAGAAAAGTAAGTTAATTCATTCGACATTTCAATCAATAGATAATAATCACCTAATATGATAACAACAATGATAGTAATAATAATCTTTAAATAGATTTTATTGTTGGCTGGCCCACCAGGATCCGGAAAAACAACTTTAGCACATGTAGTAGCCCATCATTGTGGCTATAATCCAATAGAAATAAATGCTAGGTTTTTATTTATATTGAATAATACGTATATATGTGCGCAAATAAGTATTCTTGAATCGGCAGCCATTAACTGTTCATTCATCTTCATTATTCAAGTGATGATCGTACCGGAAAAACCGTCAGCAATTTGATTAAAGATGCTTTAGAATCTCAATCGATCGTTTTTAATAAAAAACCTTCATTAATAATTATTGATGAAATTGATGGTGTTTCAAGTACTGGTGATCAGGTTTGGATATATATATACATATGCTTCTATTAAATGAAATATATATGTACAGATATCTATTTCTAGATCCTAACCTTTCAATAAATTTTATTAGAATTTTATTAAATTATTGATAGATCTGATTTCTTCTTCAGACATATATTTGCCTAATGCTATTGCCACTAAAGCTGACGACCAAAAATCAAGTAAGCAAATAATTTTTACAAAGGCCTTTTTCGTCTTTTTTAGCAATAAAAATATGAATAAATCATTCATTTTGCCAGATAAAAAACCAAAGAAGAGAAACCAATTACTTCGTCCTATTATATGTATTTGCAACGATCAGTAACTACCATCAATTTATCTATTGTATGAAACAATTGTCGCTCTATTTATATTAATTGACTTGTGAACTATTTTATCATGTAATTTTTTTAGATATGCACCAGTTTTACGTCCTCTTCGAACAATTGCTCAAGTTTTTCAATTTAAAATACCGCCAAGCACAATTGTTGCCAATCGTTTAAAAGAAATTTGCAAGATCGAAAAAATATCAGTTGATATGAGAACTTTATCTCATTTAGCAGAATCTGCAGATGGTGACATCAGAAGTTGCCTGAACAATTTACAGGTTTAAGAAAAAATAGTTAATACAAGAACTTATCATAATAATCAATTCGGTTTATTAATATATCTATCTATATGCATATTATGATTGTTTTTATTTAGATCTTAAAAGGACAAAACAAAAGCAAAACAACTAATGTGGTAGATCTTGGTGGAAAAGATATTAATCCTTCTTTGTTTAAAGTTTGGGATGAAATCTTTCAATCTCAAACATCAAAAATAATAAAAATGGGAAATAATTTTAAATTTGATGAATATGGTAATCCGAGAGGTAATTTTTGAAATATATTTAATAACACCCTTTAAATTTTATAGGAAAAAAATCTAATCTACATGAACATTTATTGTTTTTAAGATCCTAAATCTTATGGATATATAGAATATTTCGTTTCAATGATTTCTAATAATGGAGATTATGAAAAATTGATGCAAGGTTACATACAATTTTATAATTTAATTCAAAGTTTGGATTTGAAAATATAAACTTTAATTTTGCTAAACATACACACAATATATAGGGTGTTTTGAAAATTATTTGGATGTAAAAGTTCATAATCAGATGTCAAATATAACTAAAATGTCAGAATGGATCAATCTTTACGACACTTTAAACACTTGGACTAATACAAGACAATCATATGAATTATTGGGTTATTTTCCTTTTCCATTGATCAACTTTCATCGATATTTTGCCAGCAATTCAAAACAATATATCAGATTTCCAAAAAAAGATTATGAAGTAATATATTTTTTAAAATATAATATATACATATCTACTTGTAGGTTTTTCATTGATTAAATATTTACTTTATATATTTATTTAACTTGATATAGAATGCCACGAAGCTTAAGGAAAATGAAAATATACTTACATCCGTCCTGAAATCGTTGCCTCCTACTATTCAATGTAAACTAAATATTGGAAGATTCACTATAGAAGTTTTACCATATTTATTAAAAATGATATCTCCTGAATTAGTATTGGTAAAACTAGTTAATTTATTCGCTAATTCTCTCTTACTATAAAATCCATCATTACAAATGACACGACACACACACACACACACACTATATATATATATATATTTAAATTAACAGGGAAAAGTGCAATTTGTCAATGATTCAAACAAACATAAAATAACAAGAATTGTCGAAATAATGACACTGCTTAATTTAAAGTATACTAACCAAGCAAATGAAAATGGGAGTTATTCTCTTGACCCGTAAGTAGATCAAATAATATTTTTATTTGTTTGTTTTTTATTGTTTCCATTGAATAAATAAGTCTTTACTATTTTATTTTATTTTATTTGGTTTTATTTTAGACCATTAGATCATCTACTATTAATTCCTCCTGACAATAGAACGGAAATTCAACACAATGCTAGGAGACTTGTGGCTCAAGAGGTGTGTTTTATTATTATTATTATTATTATTATTATTATTATTATATATTTATTCTCACACAATATGTACATTTATAGGTTCATAAAGCTTTAATAAAAAAATTGGGAAAAGCTCCAGTAAAACAATATAGTAAAAATATGTAAGCCACAAATATCAAGAAATTATACAAGTTAAATATTGGTTTATTTGTGTTGATTATTGTTTTATATTTTTATTTTTATAGAACTTTTGAAGATAAAAAAGTAAACTCGTTAAATGATTCTAATCCACGAAGCGTTATTCAGGTTGTTATTTAACTTTTAATTGATTAATTCATCAGATATTATAAAATAAACAATTTTTATTTTATTAGTCAACATTGGACTATTTTAAACTAAATGATGGAAAAAACGAGGAACAATTTAAAGAATCAGAAAATGGTAAATATTCAAATATCAATCAATCAATAATAATAATATTATAATATATTTAATTTAAATAATAAACAAATAATTTTTTTAGTGAATCTTCTTTTGGCAAAGATTCATTATCAACATAATGAAGGAACCAATAAATACGTAAGGATGCAAATGAAAATGAGGGATTTTTTTTGATTTGTAAGCATATCTTTCTCTTGTTTGTATAATATTTGTAATTTATTACAATAATTGATTTACATATAGCATGATAACGATCATATTTGTTATTTTGTAATATATGTGCGCACATTAAAAGAATTTGTTCTTAAAATCTAGAAACTACAAAAAATTTTACACTCAAATAAAAATAAATATTTTAATTTCTTAAATAATCACATCCTATACACATTACATTATCCAAATCATTATCAAAAGTACATCTAGGACATCCCCATTTTCTGAAAGAATTATTATCAATATTATTATTATCTTCTTGATCAATGATTATAATTACACCACTATCAGATTCTAAAATATTTTCTCCATAATTAGGTCGCTCTTCTAAACAAATTTCACATTGTAAAACCAATGGTCGATTTACGAATGTACATTGTGGGCAAGACCATTTTTCTGTTTCAGAATTTGTTTTAGTTGTGGTGACTTTTGGTAACTTATCAGCAGGTATTCTAACTGCACGTGATCTATTATTATCATTGAAATTATTTGTGGTGATGGTGGTGGTGGTGGTGGTGGTAATGCCGTTACTACTACTACTACTATTAATAATAATTTCATTTTGAGATCTTTCACCGCCACACCAAACAATATCTTTTAACCTTTGTTCTATCGCCATAGCAGTCAATTCTCTTATTGGCAAATTATAATTGGTATGGGCAGTTCCACCTAATCTTATTCCGCCTTTTGGCATTATTCTTTCTAATTGTTGTTTTTTCTCTATTGTTTCTAATGATTTAAGACCTGCCGATGCTAATGGAACATTATTACTCTGGCCTAGACGATAATGATTACCAAAGAACCAATCCCCGGTATGACCTTTTACTAAAAGTTCATCATATTCATCATGTAATAGATCTAATAATTTATAAAATTTTGCATCATGTGGAGCACATTCAATATGTGATAATCTAAGAAAAAAAAATAATAATGATAGTAAGTAAAGAATTTGAAAAAAATTATATTTTATATATTAAAAAAAGTTTATGGAGTTTTCTTTACTCATGAAGCATTGTCCCAATTAAATCATTGAAATCAAAAAATCTTGTTTGATCATAATGTGGACGTAGACGTATACATATTTTTTTACCACGATCAATATTAAGACCTAAAAGCAAAAACTCACATTATTATTATTTTTAAAAATAAAACAAAATATTCATATTTAATACCTAACAATCTTTGATCATTTGGATAAAACTCTTGTAAAATTGTCACACGCCAATTACGTTTTTTCATAATAGGTTTTACCTACACAAATGAGAATTTATGATTTATATAATGTAAAAATAGCAAAAGGCTTTTAATAAATAGTATTATGTGTGTGTGTGTGTATATATATATATATATATATACATGTGATGCTAATTTCTTCAGTAATTGTAACGCTTCTTCATGATTATGAAACTTTTTAAGTTGTACGAAAGAACTAATACGATCGTCTTGGACTGACATTTTTTTTCTTCAAGAAGAAAAATTGTAAATCTATTCACCGCGTAATTATTGTTTTTAGGGATATCCGAATACTTTCCTGTTTAAACTATAATAGTAATAATATATTAATATATATAGTAATAGTAATACTAACCCGAATACGTTATTATTACTATTATAGATGACGTGCAATACTAATACTTGGAAATTAATTATCTTTTGTCTTTTTTTCATTACTACTGAAATTTTCTGAACTTTAATAAACAACAATTTACGTAAAACTATATCAATATGAAAGCTTATAATATTTCCATCTTCTCAACCAATCATCAAGTTCATAAAGGTAATATTGAGAAAATCTTAGTTTTGATGCTGTTTTTGAATAAATATGGAGAGCATCTCTATCAATATGAGAGTGGTATTGGGTTATGTAGTTCCGAAAAGATTGTAAATACGTACCACAAAATTTATTATTCTTCTTGCATGCATTTTTTTTTTTTGGCTATATCAATATATTAATTACTATTACAAAGATTGATCATTATTAATATAACCACATTATTAACTCATCTACAAACTCCAAACAACTTTAGAAAATTCCGGTTGCTAAAATTCCATTGAATTTACATTATAGGTAAACGTTATATCATTCATTGATATAATATATTCTCCAACACAATGAAGAGAGCGCACCAATTATTCACGAATATTGGGTAAGTAGTTTGCGATGGGGATTTACATATGTAAAATTCGTTAATTGATTGGTTGCATTTGTATATCATAAGTTCCAAATTTGTATCATTATTATTCAATCACTAAACAATTGTAATAGTTTCGTCAACTAATTAAAGAAACCATGTTCCGACTCTTTCTTTATTAATATTAACAAGAAATTAAATTTTCTAAAAAAAGAATATTTTTTTGTTGTCTAATTTAATTTAATTTATTTCTTGTTTCATTCCTTTACTGTTTCAATAAAAAAGTGTTGTTGTTAGATTACACAGTAAATATATATAAATAAATAAAAAATAAATAATATCTTTTTTAAGTAGAAAACTATTTTGAAAAAACAAAAACAAAAAAATGCTAAAATTGTCTGATAGCGTCGATTCCCAATTAGATTTTGAATCGTTTTCTTCGAAAGAAATTAAATGCGATTCATTAAACGATGAAACGTTGACCATTTCAACTGGGCAAACTTCTATTTTTGGCACAGAGTCAGATATTGAGGATATTGACCTGGATCGTTTAATTCACGAACGTCATGTGTTTGTAACTTCTGGAGCCAACTTAGAGGTCGAACATGATCCAAATCAACAAAGTAAATTTAGATTATTATTTAGTCTTTTAAAAAATTTTATTGGTGTAAAAGATATTGTAACTTTGTAAGTCTACAACTTCTTTTTTTTTTGCTGAAACTTTATTTAAAAATTTTGTTTCATTAAATATAATGTTAAATGATTTTTTTAATCTATTCTCACTATCCTTTAGACGTATTTCACTTCCTGCTCAATTACTTGAACCAATTGGAAATTTAGAGTATTGGAATTATAATGACAGACCTGATTATTTAATTTGGTAAAGGTTAATCTATGATTATGAATGCGCATTAGACGTAATAGTACACATTGTATATATATATTTACTTAATTTTTAATTTTTATCAAATCTTAGTATTGGTGACTCGGATGATCCGTTGGAAAGGATGTTTGCTACTATTAGATGGTGGTTTTCTAAAGATTTAAAATATGTTGTATGTAAATGCTGGCATTATTAATCAGAATATAATTGTTGTCAAATATTGTAGAATAAAAATAAAAATAATAGTAATTAATCATGACATTTCTATTACTATTTAGAAAGGAAAGTTGATAAAACCTGAATAACGCTTCGTGGATTAGAATCATTTAACGAGTTTACTTTTTTATCTTCAAAAGTTCTATAAAAATAAAAATATAAAACAATAATCAACACAAATAAACCAATATTTAACTTGTATAATTTCTTGATATTTGTGGCTTACATATTTTTACTATATTGTTTTACTGGAGCTTTTCCCAATTTTTTTATTAAAGCTTTATGAACCTATAAATGTACATATTGTGTGAGAATAAATATATAATAATAATAATAATAATAATAATAATAATAATAAAACACACCTCTTGAGCCACAAGTCTCCTAGCATTGTGTTGAATTTCCGTTCTATTGTCAGGAGGAATTAATAGTAGATGATCTAATGGTCTAAAATAAAACCAAATAAAATAAAATAAAATAGTAAAGACTTATTTATTCAATGGAAACAATAAAAAACAAACAAATAAAAATATTATTTGATCTACTTACGGGTCAAGAGAATAACTCCCATTTTCATTTGCTTGGTTAGTATACTTTAAATTAAGCAGTGTCATTATTTCGACAATTCTTGTTATTTTATGTTTGTTTGAATCATTGACAAATTGCACTTTTCCCTGTTAATTTAAATATATATATATATATAGTGTGTGTGTGTGTGTGTGTCGTGTCATTTGTAATGATGGATTTTATAGTAAGAGAGAATTAGCGAATAAATTAACTAGTTTTACCAATACTAATTCAGGAGATATCATTTTTAATAAATATGGTAAAACTTCTATAGTGAATCTTCCAATATTTAGTTTACATTGAATAGTAGGAGGCAACGATTTCAGGACGGATGTAAGTATATTTTCATTTTCCTTAAGCTTCGTGGCATTCTATATCAAGTTAAATAAATATATAAAGTAAATATTTAATCAATGAAAAACCTACAAGTAGATATGTATATATTATATTTTAAAAAATATATTACTTCATAATCTTTTTTTGGAAATCTGATATATTGTTTTGAATTGCTGGCAAAATATCGATGAAAGTTGATCAATGGAAAAGGAAAATAACCCAATAATTCATATGATTGTCTTGTATTAGTCCAAGTGTTTAAAGTGTCGTAAAGATTGATCCATTCTGACATTTTAGTTATATTTGACATCTGATTATGAACTTTTACATCCAAATAATTTTCAAAACACCCTATATATTGTGTGTATGTTTAGCAAAATTAAAGTTTATATTTTCAAATCCAAACTTTGAATTAAATTATAAAATTGTATGTAACCTTGCATCAATTTTTCATAATCTCCATTATTAGAAATCATTGAAACGAAATATTCTATATATCCATAAGATTTAGGATCTTAAAAACAATAAATGTTCATGTAGATTAGATTTTTTTCCTATAAAATTTAAAGGGTGTTATTAAATATATTTCAAAAATTACCTCTCGGATTACCATATTCATCAAATTTAAAATTATTTCCCATTTTTATTATTTTTGATGTTTGAGATTGAAAGATTTCATCCCAAACTTTAAACAAAGAAGGATTAATATCTTTTCCACCAAGATCTACCACATTAGTTGTTTTGCTTTTGTTTTGTCCTTTTAAGATCTAAATAAAAACAATCATAATATGCATATAGATAGATATATTAATAAACCGAATTGATTATTATGATAAGTTCTTGTATTAACTATTTTTTCTTAAACCTGTAAATTGTTCAGGCAACTTCTGATGTCACCATCTGCAGATTCTGCTAAATGAGATAAAGTTCTCATATCAACTGATATTTTTTCGATCTTGCAAATTTCTTTTAAACGATTGGCAACAATTGTGCTTGGCGGTATTTTAAATTGAAAAACTTGAGCAATTGTTCGAAGAGGACGTAAAACTGGTGCATATCTAAAAAAATTACATGATAAAATAGTTCACAAGTCAATTAATATAAATAGAGCGACAATTGTTTCATACAATAGATAAATTGATGGTAGTTACTGATCGTTGCAAATACATATAATAGGACGAAGTAATTGGTTTCTCTTCTTTGGTTTTTTATCTGGCAAAATGAATGATTTATTCATATTTTTATTGCTAAAAAAGACGAAAAAGGCCTTTGTAAAAATTATTTGCTTACTTGATTTTTGGTCGTCAGCTTTAGTGGCAATAGCATTAGGCAAATATATGTCTGAAGAAGAAATCAGATCTATCAATAATTTAATAAAATTCTAATAAAATTTATTGAAAGGTTAGGATCTAGAAATAGATATCTGTACATATATATTTCATTTAATAGAAGCATATGTATATATATATCCAAACCTGATCACCAGTACTTGAAACACCATCAATTTCATCAATAATTATTAATGAAGGTTTTTTATTAAAAACGATCGATTGAGATTCTAAAGCATCTTTAATCAAATTGCTGACGGTTTTTCCGGTACGATCATCACTTGAATAATGAAGATGAATGAACAGTTAATGGCTGCCGATTCAAGAATACTTATTTGCGCACATATATACGTATTATTCAATATAAATAAAAACCTAGCATTTATTTCTATTGGATTATAGCCACAATGATGGGCTACTACATGTGCTAAAGTTGTTTTTCCGGATCCTGGTGGGCCAGCCAACAATAAAATCTATTTAAAGATTATTATTACTATCATTGTTGTTATCATATTAGGTGATTATTATCTATTGATTGAAATGTCGAATGAATTAACTTACTTTTCTATTTGGACGCTTCCATTTATCCTAAAGAATTTATTTTTACGCGTTTTAAGCAAGTTATTAAGAGTTTCTTCAAGTCATATTTATATATATATATATATATATTAGATGATTACCTGAAGATCATCATGTTCATCGATAGTGTTTTTATTAAAGACACAAAAATCCCAAGTTTTAACCCATTTCATAACTTGTCTGTGAAGATTCTATAAAGTTATTATCGTTGTTATATTAATGTTTATCGATTGGTTAATTATTCAAAAAATGACAAATAAATATCATAATACCTCGTCACCGATTAAATCAAGGAACTTTTTTGGTCTATATTTATCAACTAATAATTCTGTTTCAAAAGATCTTTGCATTTTTATTATATAAAATCAACTGTTTAAATTTAACACGTGTTTTAATACGGCACGTATATTTTTCGAAGATCAGGCAGATCATGTGATTGATTAATTAAAAAGAAAGAATTCATTCATTAAAAAAATATATAAAAAACGCGTCTTTCATTCATCATAAACAAAAAACTGGCTTTTGTTTGTTTTCCAATAACTTGGGATTGGGCAATTATTAATAGTAAAGAATAATATTTCTATAAATAATTTATTTATTATAAACAATTATTTTCTTCATGTGAAAGAAAAATAATAAACGTTATTATTATTATTATTATTATATTATTAATTATTATTATTATTATTATTATTATTAATGATTATTATAATTATAATTATTAATTATACCTAGTTCAATTATTTGGGGTGACAAAGTGAGTATTTAAGGGTTCAAACACTGTACAAAATACCCTAATAATGTTGGATCATGATCTTGAATCCTTTCTTTCTTTGCTTAATCACTCACAGTTCTTACAAATAATAATAGTAAACATAACATGCATAATACATGGTCATTGACGAGATATACACATAGTGTCACGTCAGGTTATTATTAATTAAAGGATTGAGCCGAGTTTTACGGTCCTCGGACATAACCAAGCTTGATGTAACAATTGAAAATCCTCGCAATTAATAAGATTGGATAGATGTTTTGAAAAAATTAATATGAGAACCAGTCCAAAGTTGAATTTATTTGCTGTCATGAGTCGAAATAATTTATTGGAGGGCAATAACAGTAAAGGTTTGAAATTTTCATCTCTCAAAGTTCGCCTTTAATATTAAGCAAAGTAGACGCTAATATTTATTTAATTTTCTGCATTAATGCCTAGATCTTGGTACTAATCATCATCAATCAAACTTCCTTGGAATGATTAATTATCACCAACATTAGTGGGCACTTTGTCACTAAATTTTAAACCCTGAACTTCTTTGATTATTAAAAACTTCACATTCTATCCTTTAATAGAAAGAACTCCGCCTTTTTATTTATAAATCTTTAACAATAAAATAATAAATAATAAATCATAAGGAATTCTATCTCTTTGATTGATTATTATTAATATGTACTAATTAACAATAATCTGTACGTTCTTGTTATTGTATGTGTGTGTGAAATAAGAAAGAGTGAAAGAGAGCGAGAGAGATATATACTTGTTTAAAATAAAAGAATAGTGGTAGTAACACAAATAAGGGGCTTCACATCAACAAAAAAAGTAAGGAGAAAATAAAAAAACTCAGGGTTTATTATTTTTAATTGTTATTCTAGTTGCTACCATTATGATTGTTTATGATTATGTTATTTCCATATGATTTTTTTAGATTCTTGCGCCACTTACGGAATTACGCGTAAAAAGAAATAATAATAAAAAAATTGTCTATCAGAAAATAAATAAACAAGCTTGTGAATCTCAAATGTTAACTGCTAATTTATTTAGTTCACAAAATGAGGAAAATTATTATGCACACACTTACATAAATGATAAACAAACAATGAATAAGAAGAAGAAGAAGAAAGGGAGAGGATTTATATATTGTCATGGTGATGGATGATTAACTTTAAAAAATGAAAACAAGATTGATAAAAAAAAAAGGGATCAAATATATTTGGATGGACCCTGAACATTTATTTTGTTTTTTAAAAATAGAAAATTTTGATTGAATCTTTTTTTAAAAAACCCGAGATTTCAAATAAGCATAAAAAATATCGTAGATCTTTTTACCATTTTTACTTGACAGTTGATTTTTTTATGCAGGTTGACAACAAGATGTTACACGACATATTAGTATAAATATCAACTCTTGTGTCACATATATTTTGAAAAAGCTTTTTTTTTTTCATAAATAAAAAATGCTTGCCCATTCTTTATACAAATCATTTCAAAATTCCTGTAAAAATATTTATTCAAATAATTCAATAGTCGTTCGAACTTTTGCGGTTACTATCTATATTTTATTTTATTTTTTAGAATTATAAAATTATCTATTTATCTTGAATAAACTATATATATATAATAATTAATTAATTAGATTATTTATTTATTATTTAAAGAATACGAATGGCATTGAAAAGTCCAAATGCGCTATTATTTTTCCCGGTAAATAAATAATATATACATATCAAAAGTGTATAGATATATATTATGTAATTCAGATCAATAAAATAATCAAACATGTGATGTATGTTGTAGGTCAAGGAGCCCAATATGTTGGAATGGGTAAAGATTTCTACGAAAAATATTCTGTATCACGCGAAGTCTTCGACGAAGCTAACCAAACTTTGGGATTTAATTTAACGAAATTGATATTTGATGGTGATCAGGTATAATTTTATTTTACTTTTTATTAAACAAAAAAAAACTCCCAATTTAATAAAATTTTATTATCAGTTAGAACTTACTCAAACAGAAAATGCACAACCTGCGATATTAATGACGTCTGTTGCTATTCTTCGTGTTTTGGAGGTTTAATTATTTATAATTATAATTATAATTTTTATTTTTATTATTGATTAATTAATAATATTTTTTTTAAAAAAAAAAGAAAGAATATGGATTTGATTTATCATCTAGTTGTAATTTTGCTCTTGGACACTCATTAGGAGAATATGTAACTTTAGTAGCTACAAAATCTTTGTCTTTAAGTGATGCCATTAAACTTGTTGTGAGTTAAAAAAAAAAAAGCTTGTATTTTTTTACAATCTTTTTCATTTATATATTTATATTATACGTATATGTATATATATATATGTATGTATATGTTATTAAAAAAAGCGATTACGTGGAAATGCCATGTCAAGAACTGTATCAAACTTGGGAGTTAAGACAGCTATGGCAGCATTAATTGTACGAGAAGAGAACTTGGATAAATTACAAGAAGCGATCAAAGAAATCAATACAAATTTACCAAAAGGAGAATCAGTAGAATTGGCTAATATTAATAGTGTATGCGCGAAAGAAAAAATTTACATACGTGTTTAGACAATTGATTGGTTTAATAAAATATTTTCCAACTGATATTTTATTTTATCTTATTTTATTTCTTTGGTGTGGTTTTATTATACTAGTCATTTCAGGTGTTTATTTGAAGGTTCAAATTTTTTCTTTTTTCAGATGTTTCTTTAATCTTGTAAAATAATAATAATAATGATGATGATGATAGTGATGATAACAATAATAACAACAAATATACATACATACATACATACTGATGATATTAGGCAGTTATAAGTGGTACAAGCGAAGGTGTAGATCTTGCATCAAGTGCTCTTCAATTGAATCATCTTGCAGCGCGGGCAGTTTATCTACCTGTATCGTAAGTAACAATAATTATAATCGTAGTCACTATAATAATTTTATTATTACAAATGAAACTTTTGTATATAATTATTTTTGTTATTTAGGGCACCGTTTCATTGTAAATTGATGGATCCAGCAAGAGAAATGATGAAAGATGCTTTGAATGGTGTTAAATTTCAAACCCCAATTGTAGATGTTATATCTAATGTGACAGCAAGACCGGTAAAAATGATATAATATATGTGTTTGTATAGATATATAAAATAATATATATAATTAATCAATCAATCAATCAATCAATCAATCAATCAATCAATTTTATATTAGATAATATCAGCAGATGAAATTCCTTCATTGCTAGTAAAGCAAGTGACTGCCACTGTTCAATGGCAAAAAAGTATAAAATATTGTAAAGAAAGAGGAGTTGATAATTTTTTATTAATTGGGCCAGCAAAAGTTTTGGCCAATTTATTGAGGAAAGAATATCCAATGGATTTAGTAAGGTTTGTTTGTGTATAAATTTTTTTTTTTTTTATTTTTATTTTAGATGATTAAAATTTTAATGAATGTATTGATTATTAGACCTTTGTCAAGTGTAAAAGAAGTTAAAAAACATGCAAATGAATTAATGACTAAATTATCAAATAATAAATAAATAAATAAATAAAAAGTTTTTATTTAATTTGAAATATTTTTGTTGCCTTGGAAACAATTTCGGGGAGCTCGGATGATGTATTTCTTTCCAAACCTCCAAAACCGTCTTTTTTTATAAAAAACGTCATTGCAAGAAAATCCAATCACATGCGATATGCATCATCATAAATGACATTGTCAACATTTGAACGAACGTGAATTTTTCTTATTATTGGTGTTCTATAATAAGAATAGTCATTGAACCTAGAAACAAATATAAAAACGATAACGGATGAATGAAAAAGGGGTTTTTTTGTTGATAATAAATAAAAAATTTTAAGGTTTTTGTTGTTATCTGTTATTGTTATTATATAAAAAAAAAGAATAACGTTAATAATTAAAATTTCTTGCCCATACCTCTATATTTACATTTTTTATTATACGGTATGAACATTATATAATATAAACGTTATACAAGATGTCATTAAATATTATTAATATCAACTTTATTCCTTATTGATTTGATTACAGCAATTGAAATAAAATAAAAGAGAGATAAGGCTTAAAGCTTAGCTGAATATTTAAGATCGAATTTCTATTAGTGTTCAAGTTTATATGAATGGCAGTGGTGGCCTGTGCGTTATACAATTAAAGTACGACATTTTGTTTAAAATAGTTTAATGTATTATTATGATGTACACACATATATATATTAATATATATATATATATATATAAATATACAATACTGATGAAAATGGTGTACCCCAAAATATATTACCCTGATTGTTTTTCGAATCCAATGGTAAGTCTGACATGTGACTAGCTGACAAGTTCGTGATTATCAATCATAATCAAAAAAAAAAAATTATCTAATCAACGTGAATTCTATTTTTTTCACATAGAAATCAAATACCATTAATAAATATTTCTTCAACTAATAAATTTTGCAATCATTTCACCACATGTCGGCATTTTGCTCATTTATAATCGGTCAGACTATTCATTTATTAACTCACATTTGATAAAAATATCTCGGGGGATTTTATATAAAGTCAGTAATCATGAGACGTCTATTATTACTAATGATTATGATTTTTAATCAACTATTATTATGAAAGAAAGAAAGTATCACAATCAATTCATATGTAACTAACTTATGTAATATATATGAATTGATCGACAAAAGGGTTCGAATCGAATGGCAAATATTAATATGGTAATGTCCCTGACTGTACCCACAGATGGTGCATCTC